TTAATTGAAATGTCAGATTTATAGAAAGAAGCAGAGACAGAGAAAGATCTTCCACTTGTTGGTGCACGCCACACGTGGCTGCAACAGCTGGAGCTGAGCCAATCTGAAGCCAAGAGTCAGGAGCTTCTTCCAGGTTTCCCATGTGGATACAGGGTCTCAAGACTTTGGACCATTCTCTACTGTTTTCCCAGTCCAAAAGCAAGGAGCTGGAAGGGAAGCAGAGCAGCCAGGACACGAAGTGGTAACCATATGGACTCCCCACACACATGCAAGGTGAGGACTTTAACCACTTGGCTACCACGTCAGGCCCTACCTATGGTTTTCATCTCTGGGAGTCGCAGACAGCTTCCTGTTGCCCAGGGATGCATACAAGATCTCTGTTTTCAACAAGCTTATTGGAGAGTTCCTGTGGACAGCTACACTTGAGGAACTACCGACTCAGACTCATTACCATTAAGCTGGGGGTCTTGGAGACCACCTGGACCACCTGGGGCTTACAGCCAGATCCCAATACCAAGTCTAGCCCAAGCCAAGTGGGAACATGCAAAACTTTGTGCTCAAGGTCAAGTTCAGCTCTCCCTGTAGAGTTCAATGACTTAGATTCCCAAACCCACAGCTTTGATCCTGAGGGTCCCAGGGACCAGGTCTGAGCCTGCACCCATAGCCCAAGAGCCTCTGTACTCCGGTGCTGGCATCCAGATATGCCTGTGACGCCCTCCTAACAACATTGCTGAATTCACAGCAAAATTGTACAAGTTTTTCCATCCACTACCTCCTAATAATGTGTGTCTTGGGTAGGACACCAATCCGTGACTTGTTTTAAGCAGTATTAAGCAGGGACCCTCAAACATGGACAAGCTGGAAAGTGCTGCCACAGGGTATTCCTGCGGGTGGCGGTGGCCTTGGGGCTAATGAGCAGCTAAACAGGCAGTCACCTGTCACCACCACCGCCCCCTGGGTCAGCCCTCATGGGTGACCAGCTGGGCCCAGGGCACTCTCCAGCACTTGAGTCATGCCCTTCTGTGACAATGAGAGCTCCATGAGAGAGGAGGGCTCAAGGACAGAGGGAGCCTTTTGCTCACAGGACCAACTAGGATGAAGGGCGAGGCCACCAGAACTCCAAGCTTACTAGGACCCTTTCCACCTTGGCGTTTGAGGCTGACATGGAGCGTCCCAGATTTCTCTCTACGGCCAACATCGAGTGGATGGGTCTTGACTTTGTGCAGACCCACAATGACACTGTGAACCTGTCATGGCCCATCCCTAGGTGTCAGAATGAGCAGGATCCCCAAACAGGAAGTTGTCAGATGCAGAGGCTCATATTCCGCCATTCCCAGCTGGGAGGGAACAAGGCACAAGAAGCCCCGAGGCTGCCGCCCTCTCTTGAAAGCATATCCAAGATAGTCAAGGCATGCGTGAGGGTGCAGGACTGCACACATGCACCGATCCCCACCGAGCCAGCACCCCACTCCCCCCCACCCCTCATCCCCGTCCTCACAGCATTTTTCCCAAGCCCTGTTCAGCCCAGCAGGTGGATTCAGAGTTGTGCAGTTTCAGAGAAACAATGGCTACTACCTTCTCAAGAACACCTCCAGGGCCACTTTGTTCTGGCCCCTGTCAGCCCAGCCAGCATCCTGTTTTGCTCTAAGGTACTTGACAGCTCCGGGTTTCTCTTCTCAGAAGTTTTGCTGTTTGTTCTCAGGCTACTTCCACCTCCCAGCTCCTACCCTGCTCCAGTGCTTTGAAGTGCCTTCTTTGGAAGCCACCGGCTCAGATCGGCTCCGTTTCAAATGGTGGAAGGGAAGGGCGGGAGGCATAGATCCTCCCCTTCTGGGGCCATCTGCCAGTCTCTGGGGTAGGAAGCGGGAGGGAGGGATGCCTGGGCTGGCAGGTGGGAAGATGACACAGCCACTTTCCCACCCCATCCCCGCCATGCCCCATCCCAACCCAGGAATAGAAGGTAATGAGGGTTACTAGAGAGCACAGGGAGAGCTGCAGGAAGACGTAAGGGCAACTGTGGGTGGGGCAGCCGAGCTCCCTAAGTATTCTGGCAGGACTGGGAAAAACAAGGCTGACAGTGGACAGGACAAGGACAGCTCCAGGGGGTCAGAAGGTGGCAGTGGAGGGTGAGGCGGCCTCAGGGCAGGCTGGCCCTGGGCAGCTGGAGATCTGGTGGGCCCAAGGGACCTGCAAGTCCCCTCTCAAAGGACATAGACCCTGAGGCTTTCCTGAGCATCATGAAAAACGTGACTCATGCTTGGGATTCTGTTTGCTACCCAGGAATGACCTTGGCAGGCTGGTGGCAGTCTCCTCCCTCCTGGATGAGGTTTCTAGTACCTACCTGCAGGTACTAGACCTCCCCCAGTCTGTAGGAGGCAGAGAGGACTCTGGGCTGCTGTGCCTGGCCTCCAGGGAGGCAGTGACTTGAAGAACACCTGTTCAGGGGTGGGAGTCTTGGGGAGCTGACCCTGCCTGGCAGCAGCTGCATCTGGGGAATGAAGACCCTGGCCACCCTAGTCTATGCTAGTCGTTAAAGGGACAGCTCCTGGGCTGTGTGCACTGAGCAGGAACATAATCAGACTGCAGCAGAGGGGCCCCGTTCTATGGGCAGCCCGCGGACGCCCCCTGGTGGAGAAGGATTGCCCTCTTTTTAGGGAATTCCTGCCACCCCTGTGAGGGGCCTGCAGGGGTGCTTAGAATCTGGGGAGCTGGCTGCATCACCCAAAGGCCCACACTGTCAGTTAACATTTTAAAGATATTTAGATAAGGTGAAAGTGCATATGCAATCATTTATGTCTGTAGTGGTAATGACCTGGTTACTGTTGCCAGCGTTCTTCATTCCTTCGTGCATGTCTGCCTTTCCATCTGCTTTCCTCGGCTTGGAAATTTTCTTCTAACAATCCTTGTATTGTAAATCTGCTGGCTGATGCTTTCAGATTGTATGTCTGCAAAATTCTCCATTTTGTATTCATTTTTGAAAGTTATTTTTGATATGCAAAGAATTTTAACGCGGCAATTCTTTTCTTCCACAGCAATAGTTATTCCTTTATCCATGGTTTTGTTTTCTGGTTTTCAGTTACCCACTCTCATTGGTAGTCCAAAAGTATTTCATGAAGCATTTCAGAAATGAACAACTGAATGAACAAGTTGTCACTAGCATTTCCAACAGTATAGTTCTAGTTGCTTTAACACTGTTGTTAATCTCTTGACTGTGCCTAATTTGTAAATTGAACTTTATTGTACAGGCGTCCCTGGAGGAGGGACTATCCCTTGGATAAGGGAGGACTACTGGCAGTGAAGCATGTTGGCACGGTCTTCTTTTTTCCTCTTAACATTTATTTTTACTGGAAAGTTAGATACACAGAAGGAGGAAAGACCGAGAAGATCCTCTGTCTGATGTCACTGCCCAAGTGGCTGCAACAGTGGGAGCCAATACGAAGCCAGGAGCCTGGAGCTTCTTCCAGGTCTCCCACACGGGTGCAAGGTTCCAAGGCTTTGGGCCATCCTTGACTGCTTTCCCAGGCCAACCACAGGGAGCTGAATGAGAAGTGGGGCAGCCGGGACATGAACCAGTGCCCATGTGGTATCCCAGCACATGCAAGGCAAGGACTTAAGCTGCTAGGCTATCGTGCCAGGCCCTGGCTACTGTTTAAAAGGCTGAGTCACAAAGAGAGCGAGCATGGGGAAGAGGGAGAGCTCATTCATCTGCTGGCTCGTTGCCCAAGTGGCCCATAGCAGCCAGACTGGGCACACTGAAGCCAGGAGCTTCATCAGGGTCTCCCCTGTGGAGACAGGATCAGAGGTGGAACAGCTGAGACTTGAAGCAGTGCCATATGGGATGCTGGCATTGCAGGTGGCAGTTCAACCAGCTATGCCATCAGGTCAGCCCCTGGGCCACTATCTTCTGGCTGGGATTGTTTCTAACAGGAAATTTGCCGTTATCTTAGTTCCTCTACACCTTGTCTTCCCTTCTCTTGCTTTTAAGATGTCCTCTTCAGCCTTGGTTTAAAAAATATATATATAGTTCACTGCACTTTACATTGGACCACATAATTTTCTCAGTCTGGGAAAAAACTGTAGCCATTACTTCTTACAGACTGTATCACACCTGTTTTTGTAGGAATTTCAATCACACAAGATGTGGCCCTTGTAGTTGTCCCACAGGTCTCCAATGCCTGAGTCCTCCCTCAAATGATTACCATGTCTTCAGCTTGGATATGGTAGTCTTCACCTTAACAGGTGCTTCTTAGGCTTGTTTTCAAACACATGGTAACTCACTTGACTATCCTTTGTACTCATGTCAGTGTGTCCTTCCTGGGTCAGTTTTGATTGGTCATCCCCACATTACTCATGCTTCCTGCAAACCTGGCGGCTTATCACGTCAGCTGCTGTAAACACCATCTTGGGTGTTAGCTAGCTTTTGTATTCCCATGTTCTCGATCCTTGTTCCAGAGTCACCGGAACACTTGCGTATAAGCTTTGGTGACTTGGAACTTGAGCGACAGGGCTCATTTCTCCAGCACTAGGCTAACACTTTTCTTGGTACTGTGTCAGTGTCATCAGGATCATGCTGTCCGCTGTGGGAAACACAGACACTAGTTTTGGCTCCCATGCTGTGCCTGCAGTCCTGTTGTGGGGGGTCCTCCACAGATACATCCAGTGGAGCGCGCAACTGGAGCACAGGATGGAAACATGCAGACACTCTGCCCCAAGCCTCTCCTGTGAACTCAGGTCCCACTGCCTGCCCTCCACTCAGGCAGCTCACTCATCCTGGAGCCGTGAGCACCCGCCAAATACTCGGGAGAGATGACTTCTGGTTCGCATCTTGTAAGGATCACTGTACTTTGTCCTCTCAAGTACGCTGTCTTCATCTTTGTTAGATACATAAGGAGCAGGGCAACTTAGCAAGACAGAACACTTCTTTGGTAACTGACTTTTTCTAGCAAACTATCACCCAAGGAATAAAAGGAGCTCCTTCCTTATCTATCACGGGCCATGTGCCCAAAATTATTTATTTTTAAATGAAGGAGTCAAGGCTGGACTCTCTTCAAATAATGAAAACAAAAACGAAAGCAAACCACTCCAGAGTGGTGAAAGGCTGAATTTCTGCTTGGCGCTGGATGCTCTGATGTACGCTGTTGGAGGCCAGAGGAAGGCTAGGTGGCAGCTCTCTTTACATTGGACCATACAGAGCGCTGCATGCCCTGTGCGGCCTTCACTTCTTTCCAGTCCAGTTTGGTGTCAGGAACCTCATCCTCCGGCTCGGGGTCCTTCCTCAAGGGGCCCTGCGGGGAGGCCACCACGATGGGCAGAGGGCCACATTCCTCACGAAACTCCACAACGTGCAGGCCCTTCTTATCGGCCAGCTGTTGGTGTGTTTCCTGGGCAAGGTGAAATGCAGAAATTTCTCTGTCACTTCAGCTGATGCTAGGCAACGGCCGCATCACGTGGCTCACCTGCCATCAAGCACTGCAGCCCCATCTCCGCTTCCCACCCTCCGCAACACAGGCACGCAGGAAAGGCCTGCGCCTCCCTCATCTTCCAAACTCCCTCAACATGTGCTGTGCTGTGACCACAGAGGCCCTCAGGCAGGAAAGACAGGGAAATGGGAACATTGGGGATGCCACAGGCAGCACCATGCTGGGAAACCTTAGGACAAACAACCCCATTTTCCAATTTAGGAAGCTGCAAGGAAAAAAACGAAAGTATCTCCAGATTAGAAAAGACTTTTAAAGACACAGCAAAAGCTTCTAACATATTGACCTTTTCTGCCACCTGACTCCAACTGTATAGAAACTAGCAGAACTTCTGTTTCAGATGCTGGGACAGGGTTACCTGGTGGGAGAGCGCGTGGAAGAGGCCCCGGGTGAGGTTGAGCATGTTGACAGACCCAGAGACCTTGGCGTACATGTCCTTGATCCCGATGAGCCGGCAGATAGTGATGATGGCCCTGTGGCAGTGGAGGCCGTAACCTAGGAAAGAGAAGGCCAAGTGAGACCACAGCCACTGGACCCCGTCGGCCTTCAGCTCTGGGTTGTGGGAAAGTGGTTCACCTTCCAGCTTGACCACTTCTCCCTGGCGTGACCCTTGACAACTTCCCATACTTCCAAGAGGACATGGATTTAAACGGAACAAAATTTCTATATAACCTGAGGTTACCTGAAGTCACTTTTTAACCACAGAACTTTGGGTCAATGCAAATCAGAACATTTAAGAATCCTACATCCAGAGCCTGCTGGATATGAAGGTCACAGCCTCATGACCCTAAATCCTGTCTTTTTGTCTACCAGACACAGAGGGGCCACTTCTGCAGGCCTCAGGTAAGGGCAGCAAGCTGTAAGAAAAGGGACATCCAACAGCTCAGAGAATGCTTGACAAAGAACGGGTCCTCAGCTCTCTCCCATTCACACTGTGCTCTTCCCCACCAGAGCCATCATGAGGCCTGCTGGTGCTCCAGGCACTTTGTGCAGCGTGGCTATCTCCTATCTCCCCAAGGCCCTGGCCATGCTCAACCCTAACCTGGGCCTCTTCATTCTGGTGCTTTCAGGATGAGCGAAAACACAGGAGAGGATAGGGCTGTTGTGAACCTCTCCACTTTACCTGCTGCTACAGGTAATGGATTCTGTTCATAGTTACCTCTGGGTTGCTTCTTCATCCTGATATGCGTCCTCTTAAATCTTAAAGAAATGTCATGGAATACTGCAGGGCAAAAGCACAAACACAGGGACTCAGTGTGGGGCCTCGGTGCCTGTGTGAACAGGAACAAGGGCACCACACGCGCCTAGACAGCCAGCACACAGCAGCCAAGGGTGAAGGGCACGTTCCCCCTCACTCACTTAATGCTCCGGTTTGTTTCCCTGTTAGAGATTTCTAAGAAAACACAAAGGTACCCACGGAGCTAGACTGCCACACACACTTCAGCAGAGTTTAAAAGACTACCCACTCACTTGTATGGTCTTCGTATCGTTCTATGTAGTGTAAATAGTGAATTGCTTTATTCTTTGCCTGAAAGAAGGAAAAAGGTTGTTTAAATCTCTTGTTGAAATTGACGATGTCGCAGATATTTCAAAGTATTTTTTACAAAACATATTTTGCCTGTGCAAAAATGTCAATGTATACTTTCAAAAGGAGTTACTTTTAAAAAGTAAATATAGTATCACCATCAAACCTTAAAAAATGAACAATCCTTAGTACCATGAGCATGTGGTATTAACTTAGACAACTATCTTATAGATTTAGTAAGCAACCACAAATCTGATTTCAAAAATGATGTAAAAAACATAAGTATTTCTGAAATGTTTGTTTTTTTTTTTATGAGATAATAACCTTTGCCAGCACGCTTCATGGGACAAATTACGTATTACTTTACAGTTCCCATGGTGTCTAGCACAGAGCTTATAGATCTTTTTTTGAGTGACAACAAAGAAAAAAGTGCACATACTTTTCTGAAGGCATCTATTCGTTCAGTGGCTTTCCCAACAGCAAAACCTTCAAGACAAAGCACAAAAACATGAAAAGGGAGACAGATTTCACATCATACACATTTTATCACATGCCAAGTTTTGGCTCCTCCACTATTTCACAGCACTTCATCTCTCTACTGCCTACCAAAAGAATGGTCATCCAGAACCAGTAAGGGCACAATACTTGCTTATCTGTCATGTGGCACTCCTGAAATATGACACTGAATAATTTATGAAATCCAAGGTTACACACATAACATTGCCATTACCTCTTATAAATCTTTACACTCAATATGCTCAATTTTAGCCCAAAGCCTTGGGACCCTGTACCCGCATGGAATACCCAGAAGAGACTCTGGGCTCCTGGCTTGGGGAGTGAATCAACAGATGGAAGATCTTCCTCTCTGTCTCTCCTCCTCTCTGTATATCTGACTTTGTAATAAAAATGAATAAATCTTTTAAAAAAAAAAAGACATCTGATGTTGGGGAAGGAATTTGGCCTGGTGCAGGGGTGGGGAGCATCCAGTCTACAGTTTGTGTAAGGACTGCAAAATCACTTGATCTGACACCTGCATACAGGACTCAAAATTCAATGAAACTATAGCATGCTAATTTTTAGTAGATACTTTTGTATGGTCTGTGAATAGTATTATAAATCTCCAAATGGCCATTAGAACAAAGGGTTCCCTAAGCCTGGAGTGGTTAAAAAACTGGTTCTATGCCTGATCCTACACTGGGGTGCCTGGGTCAGATTCCCAGCTCCAGCAGACCCCGGGAGGCAGTGTGGACTGTGTCCCAGCTCTGGCTCCAGCCCAGGTGCTGCAGGCATGCGAGCAGTCAGTTAGGGGATGGGAGCTATCGCTGAGTCCACGTCTGTCTCTGAAAGAAAAGAAAGCATCTGACGCCTCCAGGGGAACAATTAAGACATAGGAAGACTGATCCTTTCTTTTCTAAGGGATTTCCCAGCTTACCACAGGTTAAACCGCTAAGGCTTTAAACCCAGGGACCCCGCACAGCCTGTCCCGTCCTCCACCAGCGGGCCATATGCCACCACGCCCTCTCACCTGCTGCTCCGTTCCCGTTGCCCACTGCCACCAGCACCCGGACGGACCTCTTCCTGCCCTCTTTGGCTGTCATATTGAAAACATTCCTCACCTGGAAGACAAAACGCCCCTCTACCATCACACCTTAGGAAAATTCCGAGGTAGGCACCTGGAGCGACCTGTCTGATTTACTCTCTCCCTGTCTCACTACACACTCATCACCCCCACACGATGACTTGGCACATTTTCCCCCAATTCTGTCAGTTCAAGTAAAATGTCTCCAAAAGGAAGCCTCCCTCAGACTGCTTCTTGGGGAACAAACGGAAAAGACTTTCCCTCCCAGTTCCACAGGGTTCTGGGAATGTTTAGCTGACTTTATCCCAACAGGAATTTGAAACTACACAACAGAGTTATCTTAATGAATAGCCCTTAACTGCTGATTGAACTTAATCTTAATGAGTATATACAAGAAACAACACAGCTGCTGGTTAACCTTGAACATTATTTATTACTGATAAGACACTGTCCAGAATCAGAGATGTTAAAACATGAAGTGCAGTTTATGGAAACGATCGCACAGGACTGGAACTGCAGAACAGGAGACGTGGTGGTTGCCGCTGCTGCTGAGCTGCGGGCCATCTCGGAGTCCAGGCCTGCATGTGAGGCAGAGCTGGGATGGCAGGCCACCAGCAGCGCCGCTCATGCAGCAGGCAGCTCTCCACTCTTGGTGGCCCCTTTAAGGGGAGTTAAAGGCAAAGGGGGCCTGAGACCACTGCCACGGACAATCGGATAGGAGATCATTCACATGCATCAGGATTCTTTAAAAGGACAGACTTGCAAAAGCTAACAGCTGGGATGACCAAGACACAAAATGACACAGATCTCATTTCTACCATGCAATGATATGGATGAGGCAAGGCGGGCCACAAACTCAATAATCATCCCGCAAAACAGTTAGCAGTGTTTAAGAAGCAAGCAGCACCGGCTCAAGAGGAAGTTGACTATTTCAGACAATGTCCTGCAAAGACTGAAGCTGCCTGGGCTGCACTGCTGTGCCAAGGTCTGCGGGCAGCCCCGAGAGCACTGCCCTCAAGAACTGATCATTCATGGTATTGCTCAGCTTCCTGCGGCTGCTCCCTATATACATGTGGTCGATAACACCAAGGACAGACTGTTAACGCTACTTCAGCTTTAGGAAGACAGAAACAAGCATTATCCCCAGTTCCTCCCGGGAAGGGCAGCAGTTGGGGCCAGCGTGCAAGTGCGAGTTTGAGTCCTGGCTGCTCCACTTCTCATCCGACTCCCTGCTAAAGGGCCTGGGAAAGCAGTGGATGATGGCCCGAGTGTTTGGGCCCCTGCACACATGTGGGAAATGCAGACGGTGTTCTGAGCCCCTGGCTTTAGCCTAACCAGCTCCGGTCATTGCAGCCATTTCAAAGTGAATCAGCGGACAGGTGTCTGTTTCCCTCTGTCTCTGGCCCTCTCACCCCTCCTTCTCTTTGTCACTTTGCCTTTCAAATAAATAGATCTTTTCTTTTTTTTTTAAATTTTAAAAGGACAGCAGTTAGGACAATCAATATCAGTAACTACAATTAAAGTTCCATTATTCCCTAGCAGAAGTCAGCTCCAAGACAGCTGTGCACCAAAGGCTTTTCCCGGGGGCTGCCCCAAGCCCACCCCCGCCCCTCCAAAGCCTTAAGCCGCTGTCAACCTCAGCATGCCTACCTCCAGGATGCGCGTATCAAAATCCTCGTACGTTTCTGCAAGGAGAGGAAACAAGCACAAAGATGACGGTGTCTGTCCCACCTACAGACGAAGGTGTTCTCCAAGAGACACCGTCCACACTTTGGGGTGAGGATCTCACAACCTTGGGGGCCATGCCCTGGGCCCCACCATTACTCAGACTGCTCCAGCAGCAAATTCATGAACTCAGTTGCCAACCTCCCTGAATGCAGCCACACCCTCCTGCCGCTTCAGCACTCACATTCGTGGGGTGCCAAGACAACAGTCTCCCAGCTCCCAGCACCCCAAGGTCCCTGCCCCTGGGTGGGTCTTGTAACCTTTCCCACTCAGCCAGGACCTCATCAGAATCTGCGAACCTTCTCAGCTTACTCATGCCTTTCTTTCTCCAACCCTGAGTCCACACGGCCACCTGGTCACCCCTGGCCCGCTGGGGCACCTGCACAGAGGGCAAAGTGCAGCACACACTCGGGCTGTCACAGATCCACAGCCTCCCAGTCAGCCAAGTCCTCCCTGCTCACCACAGCAGCTACTTCGCGCTCTGTGTCCTATTACATTTTTTTTAGAGCTCTTTATTGTAGAGGATTACAGCTCAACAGCAGAACTGAAAGCTTCTGCATGCATCGGTCAACTTCAGCCAGCATCCACTCAGGGTCAATGCCTGCTCCAAGCTCTCCCCAGCACCTTCCCCAGGGAGTGGCTCTGAAGCCACGGCCAGCTTTCCCACCCCCACATCTGAGAGGATTCTGGCAGCTATGCTCATCATCGATGCCCTCACTCTTAGCAGGTGACTCCAGAGCTTCCTCAGATGCCACTCAGCAGCCACATGGCTCAGGTGAGGCTCTGCCCTGCCTTCTGTGAACTCACACAGCTAGACACTGGATTGAGGCCCTCACTAGGGACCTGGCACATGGGTTCTCTTCTCCCCCTCTCACAGCTTCCGCTTCTGACGGAAACATCTGCTGTACTCCAAGCAAGTTCACCTTGATCTTTCTGCCCCTGCCTCTCCCTTCTTGAAGCCAAACTTCCCCAGAAGGCAGCCAAGCTGGTGCCCTGGTGCATATTTCTTCTACCCACTGGTAAGAGAGAGATTTTCAGATGATTTCCACTTCTTTCCATACTCAGGGGAGGAAAGCTCTTGTTTGCTCACATGGCTTAAGGCTCGTCAGTCCTGAGTTTCATGCAGACCTTGATGGGGCCCAATGACTGCTTGGCTGACTTCCGAGACTGAGAATGGTGTTGCCCAGGCCTGGGGTTCCACGGGGACCCCTGCGGCCCACTGTTGCGAAGCTGTCCCATTGGCAGCTGCTATAGAGCCATGATGTCCGTCACATTTCTGGCTCTGAGAGGCCACGTGATGAAGCCTCTGGGAACCCAGGGCCTTGCTATCTCCTGGGAGGCTCTGCGCCTCTAGCATTCTGCAAGATGCAGCGGAGATAACACCACGAGACGTTATTTCAAAGACGCACAAATCACCTTTTGGAAAAAGGTAATCTAAATAGACACATAAATAAAATCATTCCAAGGAAATTATGAACTACAAATGCTCTCTCTCACACAGAGGCAAGGAAAACCAGAACTCTGTTACCTCCATTGGGACCAGGGTCAGGGGGCCCAAGACTGACGCCTCCCCAGGTGTTGCCGCTCCAGCCCCGCTCCCGCGTAACCTTCATCTTCCTCCTCCGGTCCCACTCTTCCCTCTGCTGGAGCATGTCGGCCTCGACCTTCGCCTGCTCTTCCTTGCTTCTTTGCCCAATGGTCTGCACTGCCCCATTTCTCATAAGAGGGACATTCAGACCAGGCCAGAGGAAACCAGAACGCCCTGAGGATTTAACAAGATGCACAAGTAAGAATCTGTAGAATCTTTAATGTTAAAATGTCAGGCACAGCATCACACAAAGATAATGAATATCAGTGAGATCTGATCAACGTCTCTTAGCACTACCCAAATTATAAACATAACTACTATGTGAACTAGTCATTCTATTTCATAGTATTACCTAGAGAGACACTCACACGTAAGTATACAAGGCACATGTGTGCTGGACAGAATGATCACGGAAACATTACTTATAAAAGCCAAAAACCCAAGCAATCTAGCTCTCCAGCAAAAAAGGGAATGGTTGCTGCTCTCGGAAAGCAGGAAGCATCCCAGGCAACGCCACAGGGCTATGTCATGCTTGCTGAGCAAATAACCAAAAGACTCCATCTGTGGGACTTCTCCCCAGAATCCCAAGGCAGTACACAGGCCACCGAGCCCAACTCATGAACTCTTCATGAGAAACTGGTAAAACACCCCCAAATCACACGTGGCAGAAACAGGACATCCAGTCGCCCCGTACCCCAGAGAGGACTCACCTTCCCCGATGATCTGGCCCCTGTTCAGATCCTTTCTTTTCTTCTTCTTGGTTCTTTTGCCTCTGCCTTTTCTTGCTCCTGCGCCAGTCTCTGCCAACGCGCCTTTCCAGAGCTCATCTGCTGTCACTGGAATGAAACAGGATTTTAAAAACTGCAGGCCTCAAGCAACCATCTATGATCACCTGCTGAGCATGAAAAGCCAGAAGAGGCCAACTTCATGCCCATCACTGAGGCAAGGAAAGCGAAACAGGATAGCCCTTTGTCTGAATCCTGTGCTTCCACTTGGGATGCCCAAGGGGAGAAAACCCCATCACTACCCACCCCACAAGGGATGCAAAACAGCTCATTATACTGTCTTACCAGTAGATCTGCTTCTCTGACAGGCTATCAGTCATGGTACAGTGTATTCCCTGTCCTTTCACCTCCATCAAGATAATCATTAACTAACCTTCCTAAATACAGCTAAGCCCAAATGCACAGCAACATGCCCGGCTGATCCCAGATAGTGCAAGGACTGAGGCTGCGTGCTCTGCTCTGTCTGAAACAACCATTTGCTCTTAGCTAAGACGATCAAATCACCTTGAACTCTAGTCAGAGTCTACTGAGTACTAGAATGAGTACCAGGGATCTGATAGTTGACATTTGGATGTGTGTGTGCATTTCTCAGATGATACTCGTCTTTAATACGGCATGTGGACTGTGGCACGGCCAGCTTAACCCCATCTGCGAATTCCTATCATCCACAAATTCCATCAGTACTTTGCCTTTGAACCTGTAAGATATTTAAATTCTTTACTTTTGACCATTACTGAAATTTTTCTTGGTGTAGCATTATTGATCGGATTTAAATTCTGCCTTCTTAAGGACTTGCAGCCTTTCACACTGTGCATGTGGATTTCATACTCACGGGCTCTATTCCATTACCAACTTATTGAATAATCAGAGCCTCACAAATGCTGTTCCAGTAAAAACTCTTTAGATACCTACAGGAGACTCTGTTCACCTGAACTACTCAACACTTCTGGAAGACAAACACATGTCTCCATTCTCCCTTCACACTTAGAGCTTAAAAGCTACCTGCTTGCATCTTGAAACATCTTACTTTGATCCTTAGGTAGGTAACTTCAAATGGAAACATGCTTTGGATTTATAACATTTTTCAGTACTTTGTGTCTATAAGGTATGCCGTTTTCAAACTATACTTCCACATTACAACCAATCTTGATAGTGAGGTTGAGAAAAAGTGTGATTCCACAGTCCCCACTGCTGTGTGCATTTCTGATCAAAACAAAGGGTAAAGTTCCACCTTCAGTCAAAATCAACTCACACAACAAGATCACAGCTAAAGACAAAAACACCAACCTCAAACTGAACTACTGGGAGAATTCGCTGTTTTATTGCTTAGATAATGGCCCATATAAATTTTACCAAAAATGTGAACATTCACTTGTAATGGAATTACTAAGAGATCGACCAATTACAGCGTTTTCCTTCACTTAGAATAAGTAAATTACTCACTAATGCTAAAAAGGAATTGAGACTGGTATTGTGGTAAAGCTCATTAAGCCACTGCTCGTGATGCTGGCATGCCATCCTGCAGCGCTGGTTCAAATCCTAGTTGCGCCAGTTCCAACCCAATTCCCAGCTCATGTGCCTGGGAAACCTGTGGACTTCCTAGCTCCTGGCTTCAGGTTGACCTAGTCCTAGCTGTTGCTGGTGTTTGGGAAATGAACCAGAAGATGAAAGATCCAGTTCCACTCTGCCTTTTAAATAAAAATAAATTGATAACTTTTAAAATATACAAAAAGGTGTTTTTAGAATAGGTTGATGACTATTCAAAAAAAATCTCAAAGTCTATAAATCAGATGCAGGCAATTTAATATACAAAGTCAACTCTTAGGAAAAAACTGAGGCCATGAGCACCTAGGGAAATGACTCAGGGCTCCAACTCTGTCTCCTCATCAATCCTAAATCCACATGTGCAACTAAGACTCATTTAAAAAAAAAAAAAAACACTGCTAAGCTCCCTACCTCCAGGTCCTCCTTTCTGCTCTGCTGTAAAGTGATCTCCTTACTAGAAGACTTCCCAGTTACAGTGATCTGTCGGTTACACCTCGAGTCACAGTGCTGCTCGGAGCAGGACACAGAGAAGTCCAGGGCACACTGCTGCATGTCACACAGCAGACCCAGTATTTCTGCATCTGGAAAGATTAAGGCGGTGTGCTGCTTTTTTGTCCACCCCGCACCCCCGTAGTTACTGAATATTCTAAAAGGATCAAGAACTGTCTTTATAATCCTAACTTCTTTTTTTCTGTCTAATACTAAATGGCGAATTCACCCCAAATCAGATGGCCTGTCTGCTCAACTCAGTCAGGCACAACTAAACACAGTGCATGGGCTGCCTTCTGCGTGTTAGTCTAGATCAGTAGGGACTGGGCCCCCATGAGGGCATTCAAGTAAAGCCCTCTTCCTCGAAGCACAGCTGGCAGCACACGAAGGCACATCCTCAATAGCACATCACAAACTTACCACAACAGTACCGACTCATGTAAGCAGAAAAAAAAAAATCAAGAGACAAAAACACCTTTTCTTTTCCTGCTTCATGAAGTGGGACGACTATGGCCATAATACATACGCTTAGTGAAGAAACTGTAGGGTCTGTGCTGCTGGCCCGGCAGGCTGCAGGGAGGAGAAACCCAGCACTGTGTCTGCAGCGCATGGCTCAGGCTGGCATCCCAACGGCTGTCTCGGCGTCCCCATGACGATGCAGGGGCTGTGGGCAGGGGAACATAACCGTTGACTTAGACACTCCTGAGCCACAGATAAACTACCAGCACCAAGTCATCATCTCCAGGCAAATCAAGTCACTAAAATCCTGACCTTAGAAGAACCATCTTTTTGAGGACACTCTAAAAACAACCTTTGACTGGTCCAAGAGTGTCCATCCTGGAGAAGTTATAGTTCATCCACATAGCAGAGCTGTCTAAAGGAAGCAGGCGCATCCATCTCAGGGTCTCTGCATTGCACTATCCACCCCAAACTCAGCAAGGGCTGCTCTGAGCCAACAGCGCCCTCTGCAGTTTGCACCTAGGCAGCGTGCGAAGGTGGGAAGACCTGGGCGTGATGGTTAGAAGAGCAAGATGCAGCAAAGTGCAGAACAGTGACTGGAGTTACCTAACTTCTATGTTCAAAAACCAAGGCGAGAGGTGTGAGAGTATTTTCCAGACTAACACCAGGAGTATATACAAGCAACTGATAATAACGACTGCCTATAGGGAAGAAAAACACAGTTGAGGTTGGTATGAGGGGCTCGTGTTTTTCTATTTTTTGGAATTCTCACCATCTGCATATGATTTAAAAAATCCTAAAACAGCCCGGTGCTGGCCACAGTCACTGGACTGATGCCATGGGCAGCAGTGTCCTGGGAGGCGGAGTCGGGGAGGATGGACAGAGGAGCAGTCCAGCAAGAACAGCACACGCCCCAGCTCTGAGTGTCGCTAGGCAGCCCAAGGCTGCAGGGAAGTGATGGAGCTGAGGACCGGCCCTGGAGGGAAAAGCTAACTTTGCCACCATGGTTTTTCTCAAGGCTAAGCAAGGTCACAGAGAAGCCAGTAACAGCTGCTCCTTACCACAGCGGGCCCAACGCCAGACAGGATCAATGGTGAGCCAGGGACAATCTGGGGGAACTTCAGGGGGGAAGCAATACTGAATGGCTCCAATAAGCTATCCAAAAAGCTCCGCTGCATATGGATATTGAAAATAGAGGAATGGTCTCTTGCATCTCTGAAGACCATTTAATCCCACCTTTCACTTCAGAACAGTGAAGCACAGGTCCACAGTGAGGGACCTGCCCAAGAACAGAAGACTAGTTAACGGGTGGGATTGAAACACCAACCACAAATCCAGAGGAATTACTCAGATACATGGCAGCAGACCTCAGAAGACACATAAACCTATGGGCTCACCGAAGAAATCACTAAATAAAAAGTGAGGCAAGCGTGGTGGCTCAACTGGCTAATCCTATACATATAAGCACCAGCATCTCATATGGGCATCAGTTCATGTCCCAGCACTCCACTTCCCATCCAGCTCCCTGCTTACAGCCCAGGAAAGCAGCAGAGGAAACCCAGAAGAAGCTCCTGGTTCCTAGCTTTGAATTGGCTCAGCTTCGGCCATTGGAGCCATCTGGACAGTGAACCAGCAGATGGAAAATCTCTGTTTCTGTAAATCTGCTTTTCCAGTAAAAATATATAAATCCTTAAATAGTTTATTTATTTTTAAGATTTACTTATTTTTATTGTAAAGTCAGATAATATAGAGAGGAGGAGAGACAGAGAAGAAGATATTCCATCCAATGATTCACTCCCCAAGCGATCACAACAGCTGGAGCTGAGCCAATCCAAAGCCAGGAGCCAGGAGCTTCTTCTAGGTCTCCCATACAGGCGCAGGGTCCCAAGGCTTTGGGCCGTCCTCAACTGTTTTCCCAGGTGACAAACAGGGAGCTGGATGGGAAATGGGGCTACCAGGATTAGAACCAGTGCCCATATGGGATCCCGGCACGTACAAGGCAAGAACTTTAGCCACTAGGTCACCGCACTGGGCCCTGGGATAGCTTTTCCTATAGCAGAGAAACAGCCAAAGCAGAAGCAGGGAGTGGTTCTTTGTGCCTCTGTTCTAAAGTGATATGCACTGCCACTTCTGATCTAGCTCTGTGTTTAATGGCATGAGAAAACAGCAGAGGAGATGGCTCAAGTCCTTGGGCCCCTGCAGCCATGTGGGAGACCCAAAGAAGCTTCTGGCTTCTGACTTTGGACTGGGCCAGCTGTAGCTGTTGCAGACCTTCGGGAGTGGACCAGCAGATGGAAGACCTCTTTCTCTGTAACTCTTTCAAATAAAAATAAGTAAGTCTTTAAAACAAACCCCTCAACCGCACTCCGCCACTCTTTAACTCTGCTATCACAAAATATTGGAAAAACACTCTGGGGACTCCAGGATTTTTCATTACAAACAGTGTGAGTCATTCACTTAGAAAACCATGGAAATGGCAGTTAGACCCAGGAGCCTCACCACTGCTGAGTGAAGTCTTCAACGTCAGAACAGAAGCTGCTGGGAAGGTGTGGAGAGAAAGCTGTCTGGACCATGAAAGACCTGTAAGTTTCAAAGAAAACATTGTAAATACACATTTCTACACACTGAGGCTGGGGAAGGAACATTTTAAACAGTAACACATAAGATTAATGTCTACAGAATAAAGGACCAAATACAGGTGAGTCACTGCTGGGTTCTAAGACCACTTGCCAGGTAGCTGGCATCACACACCTTCTCCGTTCACCCCACATCCTGCCAGTTACCAAGCCCTACAGCCCATTCCTCAAACACTGGCCGACCTGTCAGCTGCACCCTCTCCTCTGGGATCCCTGTGCCACGCTCTCTCTTCAGTCACAGGGCACCAACAGGCTCCTAACAGGTCTTCCTCCTGCTTGCAGTCTCCCCCCATTGAACTGGCCACCTTCCTACACGAACAGGCACCTCACTTCACAGCCCTGAGATCTCACTCTTGGGCTCCCAAGGACCTGTATGGCCTGCAATAGTCCCACAGCCCTGAGTATCCGCTCCAGCCACCCGTCCCTCTCCACTCTCTCCATAAGCCTTGCCCAAAGCAGTCAGTTCTACCACGCTTGTCTGAAATGCCACCTTTTGGGCATGGCTTCCTGATCCTGCACCATCCCTTGCTCCTTGCTGATGAAACCCTTGCAAATCATGTCTCTGGTAAGGACAGTAAGGACTCCGATCCAGAAAATACAAATAACTCTTGGGCCCAACACAATAGCCTAGTAGCTAAAGCCTTGCCTTGCAAGCGCTGGGATCCCATGTGGGTGCTGGTTCGTAATCCGGCTGTTCCACTTCCCATCCAGTTCCCTCTATTGCCCCTGGGAAAACAGTGGGACATAGCCCAAGCTGTTTGGGCCCCTGAACTCACTTAGGAGGCGCAGAGGAAAGTGCTGGCTCCTGGCTGCAGTCTCGGCCAGCGCTGGCACTTCTGGCCATCTGGGGAGTGAAACAGCAGGCGGAAGATCTCCAGTTCATTCCCCCTCTCTAGCTCTGCCTTGCAAATACACAAAATCTTTTTTTTTTTTAAGAAGGTAACACGAAGTTACCAGCTGATCCAACAACTCCATTCCTAGACGTATACACAAGAAAACACGTATATACAAAAACACCACACAGAAAAGCTTTTACAAATAGTAGGCACAATCGCCAAAAAGTGGACACAATCCAGATGTCCAACAACTGCAGAATGGGTAGAAAGAAGGTGTGTTCCTGTTAACCAGACAGCACCTGCTCATGAAAAGTGATGAAGCACCAATACACATCACTGCAGCCCAGCGGAAACTTGCAATGTCACAATGACAGCCAAGTCAGCCACAAGGGAGAGCCTCATGATTTCATTCACCTAATGTGTCCAGAACAAGCCGACTATGCATGGACAACAGATTAATGACTGCCCAGAGCTGGTGGCAACACGGAGCTGAGAGGGTTATGAAAATGTTCTGAACTTGTGCACAGTTCTTTAAAAATACTTATTTAAAAAAACAATGGTCAACATGATGACTCAGTGGCTAAATCCTCTCCTAGCACATCAGAGATCCCATACAGGCATGAGTTCGTATTCCAGCTGCTCCACTTCCCATCCAGCTCCCTGCCTGTGGCCTGGGAAAGCAGTCGAGGATGGCTCAGAGCCTTGGGACCCTACACACACGTGGGAGACCCAGAAGAAGCTCCTGGCTTCAGATCAGCTCAGCTCCGGCCGTTGCAGCCAGCTGGGGAGTGAACCAGTGGATGGAAGATCTTTCTTCCTGTCTCTCCTTCTCTCTGGGAAACCTGCCTTTCCAATAAAAATAAATCTTTTTTTTAAAAATCATTGAAATGAACACTTTAACTGGGCAAATGCAAATTATACCTCAATAACAGTACTCCAAAAAAAAAAAATTAGACAAGCTCTGATGCCAAGTGGTGTTGCGTGCAAAACCTGCAAGTGTTGTCGGTTTCATCTCCAGTGGGATCTCAGCCCCCGTGCCCCCATTTCCCTCTTCTGAAAGCGGGAATAACAAGAACGTCTTTTCACAACTCAAGGCATCAAGCACGTGAAGAGGGGGCATAGGCAGACCGTAGCGGCCATACAGCAGGTGCCCCCTGGTTACAGGAACCCGGCTGGAGGGGCTTGAGAAGGCAGACGTGCTGGCCACAACCTCAGCAATGCAATGTCCAAGCAGGCCTGCAGCCACAGAGCTGCCGGGAAGGAAATTTTCGGTTTTCAGGGGAGATGATTGGATGTAACACCTCCACAGGCGGGGTCCAGGGAAGGCACCGACCATCACCAGGCGGGTCCTAGAGGTCCCAGTTCCGCACAGACTGCCCTTGCCCGGGCTGCACGACCCCAGCAGGGCCACCCTGCCCTGGACGCTGTGGGTGGCCGGGAAGGATGCGCTGGACCAAGGGTTCCTGTGTGGGACCCTCGCCAGTCCAGGAGAAAACCTGGTAAACCGGTCTACCGTCCACTTAAGAGACCAGGGGACGCGCAGCCCAGAGAGGGAGGTCACACAGCACACTCGGCGGGACGGAGGCTCGGTCTGAGAAGCCACTACCCCCTCCGCGCCCCAGGCCAGCCCCGAACCCGCGTCTCCCGCACCCCGGCTCTCACCCGCCGGCACGCCGCACAGAGCCGGCAGGCAGCGCGCGGCCAGCACCGCGGCCGCCATGCTGGAGCCCGGTCGAGCCCTCCAACCTCCGCTCGGGGAAGCCTTGTCCACCGGCTACCGCGGCTGCTCCTCGGCCGACGGGAGGCTCCCGCCTGCGGCTCAATTGCTACGGCCCTCGGCGCGGGCGTTGGTGGGAGAAGGTCGGCCCGGGCGTGACACAACCTGGGCAGAATCCGGCGCTGCGCGGACAGCCTGAATGGGGTCCTCGCGTTAGGACCTGTGGGCGGGGCTGGGGCGGGCCGGGTGTGGGCGGGGTCATCTTGGCCGGGGCGGGGTCATGCTTGGACGTCATGTGGGCGGGGTCGTCTTATCCGAGGGGGCGGGGTCAGGCATTGGAAGTCTCGTGAGTGAGTGAGTGAGTGAGTGAGTGAGTGAGTGTGTGTGTGTGTGTGTGTGTGTGTGTGTGTTCGTTCAGTTCTGATGCTAATACTTGCTCACACACGCCTATCTCAGCCTGGGGCCATGGTTTGAAAGTGTTTTGTTGTAATTTTACTTATTGACTTGAGAGACAGACATGCCATCCACCACCAGCTGCCAGGACCTGGGCTGGACCAGGACTACAGTCCAGGGCTCCTACGTGGGCGGCAGGGACCCAGGTACATCTGCTGCTCCCCCGGGGTGTGAACGAGCAGGGGGTCCCTCGGTCATGACCCCTGCAACACAGCAGGAGCAAGGACACGGGGTGTCCTGGAAAAGCCTACGGCTCTTGCTCAGCCGTGCAGGTTCTGAATTTGGTATTAGAAAATTCGAACAGGAAAAGTCGTGACAGGTTATACTATCAAGATTACAGGCAGGGCCCAGCACAGTGGTCTAGCAGCTAAAGTCCTCACCAGCTAATCCCAGGAGCAGGGGTTCACTCCACACTCCACACTTCCCTTTGCTATGGAGCAGGATCCTAAGTTAGAAGCAACTCTGGGGAGAATACCATAATGGCAATTGAAGCATTCTGTAGTAGTTCTTTTGGCAGAAGCGTTGTAGATAAGAAGATCCATATCTAGAATTGACAGTGTTGCACCTCCCATGATACAACTGGCCCAGTGTTACCATCCTACTGTCAGAGCTGGCTGAGTCCCAGTGATGTCACAGCACTGGCGCCTGCTGTCCAGGCTGGCCCTGGCAAGCCTGGTCATAACCTCCCTCCACAGCCCTTGATCTACAGGTCCTTTTGGCCAGGAAAGAAAACTGGCATCTACAGATGGGTTATTCTACCCACCTCGTTAAAATCCTCCTCCATGTAGAAGTAAACTATAAAGGATGTAAAATAATTAAGCTTGAAAATATCATCTAAAAAGGCTTGAAAATATCATCTAAAAAGGCTGCTGAATTGGAATCAGAACTGGGTATCAGAAAAAGACATTTGTGGGGTGTATAGTGTGAAACTATGCTTGAATGTTGCTCATCCACCCCACTCCATGGCTTCCTGATGATCCATATGAACCCTAGAAATAAGAACTGGTAACATAAAGAAGATGACCACTAAGTACCCAATTCCCTTCACTAGTCAATCAAACATCCTCTCTTGCAGCCCGAGTGGCAAAATGAAGTACCTCTCATGAAGGGCTCCTGTCCTTTAGCTAAAGTGCCAGCTTGATAAAAGGGTGCCTGTTAGAAGGCAAAGACACTGTCTTCCAAGACATCTGGTCCTGGAAGTGCCACAAATGTCCAGGATGGAGCAGGGGTGGCTGGAAGAAGCAACTGGCAGCAGTTCAGAAGGCAACAGCCCAGGCAAGCAGAACAGCAAGTGCTGCTGACAAAATCCAGACATCACGAGCCATCAACACACTGACCCTTCCACACTCCTTCTGCACTCGACCCACTCCTACCGCTCATAAAGAAACATCCACTAAAGGGAGAGGCTGAAATCCCATGTGGCAGTCTTCTTCTAATGGCCACAGGTTCTTTGATACTATTCCTTCTGAGAGACCTGGGCAAGATTGTATGAGGAAACTTTTGTCTGTTCACTGGAACACTCTTGGAACACTGAATTACCAGTTACTTGTTCCTGAAATAGGATTTTACCACATTCTTTGTAATTCTTGGTCTCCCCTTAAGTTCTAGCTCAGTAGTGTCGACTGCACACTGGGTCCCAACAGTGAAGCCCAATCGTCCATCACTACAGTTAAAGCTCCTCAGTGACACTGAAAACCCCTGCCATGTGGGCCCCCCAGCTCATCGCGAGTCGGCCGGCTGTCCAGGCAGACACGCAAGCGTCCCGAGCCGTCCTTCCAGCACACTCAGGTGCTCAGACCCTGCCTCGGAACGCAGCCTCACCCTCAGGACCAGATCTGCTCCTCTCTGGCGCAAACTGCGAAGTCCAGTTCCTGAAAGAAGGAAGCAAGCACCCTCAAAATGCTGATTCTGTCTTCCAAGAGCTGGGGACGGGCCCGAGCATCCGAGAATTCCGTCGGACGGCAATCTCTTTGGAGACTGGAAAGCAGTGACATCATACCCAGGCAGCACTTCATGGTGACCCTAACTCCAGTCTGCCACCTCATCCCGGATGCAGAGACCATACTGCCAGCACCACCAACCAGCCCGAGCTGGCGCAGATGTGCAAACGTCATATTAGCAGGCTGCCGGCTGCTGAGACTTCTGGGAGATGGAGTTCGTGGGAAGACCGCGCCTTGATTGGGAGCGCAGCCGCCGGGGCGCAGGCGCGCTGCTTGCCTGACCTGGAGAGGCGCCGTTTGCCCCGAGCCCTAACCCTGTGTGCCGGAGGTGAGGGTTGCGGGTGTGTGTCTTGGAGGAGCCGAGGGAGCAGAGCAGCCGAGAGGAGGGGAGGTGCTTTCGGGAGCAGATCGGGGAGGCACGGGCGGAGCCAACTGCAGTGTGGAGGTGTCCCAGTTCCGCGAGGTGCGGGCGCAAAGTTCTCCCCTCACCCGGCAGGTGTGTGCGTGTGTTCGTGTGCGGGGCCGTTACCCGTGGTGTTTACCCCCCCGTAGGTCAGGGTCGAGCTTTTAGACTGTAAGTCTGGAGTTTTCCTTCGCTCCCCATCCCTTCTTCCTTCTCATAATGGGGACTTAATGAATGTGGGTGGGATTGACACTACATCTAGGGTACCACCCACCCTGGTTGCTCCCTCTTTCCCAGATAGCGCCTCAGGTGACTCTTTCAGATCCCTGACCTGGGCCTCCTCACGGATGCTCATCAGGGCTGCGTGGAGGAGGCAGGATTTTATAAGGGGTGTTGGGGGAGAGCAAAAAATAGCAAAGCATGAGTTAGATTTAAGGGACTGTTTTATCAGTTCTGCAGGAATAGCATGAGGAAAGTGTACTGGGGCCATTACACAAAGTTATCAGGACAAGACCCAGAAGTAGGATGGATTGTGTGGGTTAATCCCAGGACTCACTGTTCTAGAGGTCAGGTTCAGACTAGGGAGAGGGAGGGATTCGGGTCGGGGAGCCAGTTAGGATTGTGTGATAGTGTTTGAAAAGCACAGTGACAGATCTTTCACCTGCTGGTTCACTCCGCAAATGACTGCAATGACCAAGACTGGGCCAGGTAGAGGCCAGGAGCCTGGAATTCCATCTGGGTCTTCCCTGTGAGTGATTGGCTGTCTTCTGCTGCTTTCCCAGGCATAGTAACAGGAAGGTGAAGGTGAGCAGGGCAGCCCAAATTCAATGAGCACTCGGATATAGCATGTCCAACAACGTGTTAGCCAGCTGTGGCACAGCACTGCCCGGTGAACAGGATGCTGTGGATCTGGATTTAGGATGTTCGTGCTAGGGAAAGGGCAGAGTAATGCTGCAAAGGAAGAGGGGACCAGATAATAGGGATTGGATGGAAAGAGAGTGAGATTGGAGTTTGAATTTGAAACAGGTGGGAAAGTAATAGAATATCTGACAGAAATGTAAAGCCAGAGTAGTTGGTGAAGGAAATTGCCTAGTTCAGAATTTCCAGTCATTTGGGAATGCATGATCAGTTTAGAAAAGGGGTTAGAACTGGACTTGAGGATCAGCTCTGTTGAAGTGGCACGTGGTCCCCTAGCTGTAGGTACAATTTGTGTGAGGGATATGAAGAAAGCTTGGTATGGAGACTGAGCAGTGGACAGCACCTGTGTTTCTGGGGCAAAGTGGTGGAGTAGCTGTAGTGGAGAAGAACTGGCGCAGGATCATAGCAGCAGCGAGTGTTTGAAGAATTAGCAGCTTGTCAGCTGCAGGGACGTGAAGGTCACATCAGGAAAGCATTGGTGATTTTCCAGTATGCCGGAAGCAGACTCCCAGACGCCGAAAGAGTATCTGCCACTAGGGTTTTGTCCCAAGGAAAGCTCTTCAGAAAGATGATTTTGCCAGCAGGAAGCCTTGGAATTCAGTGAGGAGAGTTTGAGGTGAAGAGAAGACTTGTATGTGGGGAGAAACAAATGATACGTGAGGTGGAGAAAAGACCTGGTAATGACAGTGAAGAAGTTCTGAAAGGAAAAAGTAGTGAAAGAAAGAAAAAGAAAGACCCTGGGCCTAACCCACAAAGGCCTGGAGGCAGACCCCAGGGCCTGTTTTGTCGCCCCACATCTCACACTGCCTTGCACACCGTAGATATTCAGTAAATCTTCCCTGAATAATGGAATGAGTGAGTGTCTGAATAAATTGGCCTCAGGCTGCAGCAAAGGAGAGCTTTGATTTTTTTGGAGCCAACTCTGACAAATGCTTTATGTTGATTGTCTTATAAGCATTCTGTGAGGTTAGGCATTAACCCGGAAGCCAACTGTAGCCCAAGCCTTTGCTTCTGACAATTCATGTTTGTGAAATGCTTTCTGCCGCACGGTCCTGCCTCCTGTTGAGGCTCTCCGTCTGGTGCTCATGAAAGTTTGGAATAGCTGTGTAGAAAAGAAGAGAGATTTTGTTACCCTAGGTCCGGTCCTTGTCAACGACGCCAAACCAGAGTAATGAAGACAAATTGGAGGATGTAATAAAAAGAACGTTTATTCTGTTGGTAGCAGGTGGCCATTTCAAGTGTTACCGTCCTCCCCAGTGAAGATGGTTTGGGTTTTCTGAGGAGTTCAGAAGGAAAAGCTGAGCTTGGGAAAACATGATCAGGAGTTAGAGATGGGGGCTCGAGAGTGAAGTCAGATAGGCATACTGGCTGTTTTTTGTACGTCGGAAGTGTCAGCGCAGTTTCTTAAGAGGCATGCTGGGAAAAAATCGATAGCCTCGTCTCAACGCAGGTGAATCCTGAAGACACATTCGGGGTAGGTGAGTGCTGCAAAACAGCATTTGGCTGGCACCCAAGAGAGGCTCCACATTGTGTTAAGACAATCCGGTGCTTATTAACCATCCTGAGCCTCACTTGCCCTGAAGTCTGGTTGGTTAGTAAGGTCTCCTGTGCCTTGGTCAGCCACACCTTGGCCCTGGTTGAGTTACGGTTGGGATTGGCTGTGTAGCTGAAATGGGAGCAGTGAAAGCTTTCCAGGCAAGTGGACAGGCTCTTTGGGAGACAGAGATGGGTGCTCGAGGAGGGATTTTTGCAGGGAGACTGAGATCCCAGGGTGGGGATGAGAAAAGCAGAGGTGGGGATGACCCTGGCTGGCTGTTAGTTACTTGTTCGTTGTGAGCGGTGGATCTGAGCCTGGGTGTGAGTGAGTACTTCCTGGAGGGCTGATCATGAGTTGGAGCCTGATGAGTGATGTCATTCTGGCTGGGAGCCCACGGATAATAGGGACTTTGAAGATGACACCTGCTTGTGTAATGGCCACAGAGCTCTGAGGCTCACCATTGTCTGAGATGTGCTCACTGCTCAGTTTGTTGGAAGCTGTAACCTAATAAACAGACCTTGGAAAATTGTTTTCAAGCATTTAAACATTGCAGTGTTTCAACTAAAATTTGGGATGTGGTTTGATTTTTTTTTTTACACATTTTAACATAACATATCCAAATACTTTGATTTCAAAGCTGTTGTATACCGAACCCTACTCTAAAATGGCAATGCTGTTTCATTATTTTCATTATGTCTCCCTTGGGTTATAGCATTACTTTTGGCTGATCCTAACCTTACTCAGCACATTAAGTACGTGCTTTATGTGCGTTATCCAATGTAAGCATCAAGACAACTACCTGAGATAGGTACTTTTATTATTCCAGTTTTTTAGATAGGTTAAATAGATTAAGAAATTTTCCTAAACTCAGGTAGGAAAAGTGCTGGATTTTTCTTTCAGGCATTCTGGCTTTAGAGCCTATACGCTTAATGACTACACTCTCTTCTATTTCTAAATGTTACTTTTGATGTCTTTCTAGGGCCCAACAGTTATATTTAGATACGCCCCTGGGATGGAGAAAACATAGTGGAAGTAGATCAAAGTGGAAACCACCAATGTCCCAGTCAGTACAAGCTGCATGGCCTGGTTACCAACCAGTGGGATCTTTGTGTGTGTGTTACCCACTGTCTCTTGCAGCAAGATTCAGACCCCCCTCTCTCCTCTCCATGCTGAGTTGTTTGCTTTTAGGAAGCTATGCTCAACTTGTTTTTCCTGTTAGACTTTCTTTTTCTTTAGCTCATGCCTTTCATATGGGTTTTAGCTTTTGCACACTAACGTTCACCCTCAAGGTCTTGTTTAATGATCCAGATATGTCTGGCAACATTTAACTCAGTGCAAAAAAAAAAAAAAAAATAAGATGGATTTTCATGAAAAGGTAACCACACAAACATTAAGCCAGTAGAGTTAAAAGTTACCAGACAAACCAGTAATTCTGTCTTGATCTGATCTTTTAGCATCTTTTTAAAATTATGATTTACTCAAAAGGGAGAGTAACAGAGAGTGAGAGACAGAGGGAGAGAAAGATCTTCCACCTGCTGCTTCACTCCCCAAATAGCTGTAGTGATGAGGGCTGGGCCAGGCTGAAGCCAGAAGCATGCAGCCCCATCCTGGTGTCCCGCGTGGGTGGCAGGGCCCAGGTACTTAAGCCATCTTCTGTTGCTTTCTAAGGCTCATTAGCAGGGAGCTGGAATGAAGGTGGAACAGCTGGGACTCCAACCAGAGCTTTATAAGATGCTGATGTCACAGGCAGGTGGCTTCATCCACCATATGACAATGCATTTCTGGAAACAATTTCCCTTATCAGTATTTTACTTGGCTAGAGGGCACTTTCTTTAGAAACAGGTTGGTTCCTTGCTAGAGGATACCTTCTACATGAGGTGGCCTCAGTATGGCCTGTGCAGTAGTGACTAGTCGCAAATGGAGATTAGTCATTTGCCTAACCTCCATTCCTCGAGTTTGTTTTTTCACACGTATGTGAATGGTTGCAAGTATATGAAGCTACTGCACAAAGTTCATGGAAAAATGGAATTTTTTTTAAAGATTTATTTTTATTGGAAAGTCAGATTTACAGAGAAAAGCTGAGACAGAAAGATCTTCCATCCACTGATTCACTCCCTAAGTGTCCACAACAGCCAGAGCTGAGCTGATCTGAAGCCTGCAGCTTCTTCTGGGTCTCCACTCGGGTACAGAGTCCTGAGGCTTTAGGCCGTCCTTGACTGCTTTCCCAGACCACAGCAGGCAGCTGGATGGGAAGTGGAGCAGCTGGGACTCGAACCAGTGCCCATATGGAATCTTGGCACATGCAAGACGAGGACTTTAGCCACTAGGCTATCATGCCGGTCCTGAAAAATGAAATGATTAATCTAACACAAAAATATTTTGAATCCATGCATTTTTTTCATAATATACATTTGCCGTGAACTTTTTAGAGATTTCCTCTTATATCCCAGGGGTATCTCTGCTTATGAATAGTCATGTACTTAATCTTCTCTGGGCTATTGTTCTGCTATCGAGGTGGCTGTCATAGAAGATAAGTCATGGTAGCACAGAGTTAACTGCCAGGCAAATCTGGGTTCAAATTCTATCTCAGCCTCTTACAAGACTTAAACTTCCCAATCTGTAAAGTAGTAGCTGCCTTATTGATTTATGAGGGTGGAATTAAATTGTCCATATAAAAAATACTCAGCATGTCTTTTAAGTAACATGCTCAATAAAATGCTGATTGTTACCGATGTGCCTAATAGTGTCCACTGTGTCGACAGACTGGACCATACATTAACACGATGCTCCTGTTTTAGAAGTTGAAGGTATCTCAGCTTCTTGCTGCATTGGTCTGTGAGATCATGCATGTACTCAGGAAGGTTAATGTTGATGATGAAGAGTGAAAAGCTTTGCATACATTCTTCCTCACTAAAGATGAACCCCTAGAACTGTCCCAAAGCCCTGGCTGGAAGTGATCTTTCCAAAGTTCAGATCTGAAGAGGGCCCACCCCTGCTGAAGTCCTCCAGGGACCACTAAGCTTGTGGAACAGGGGCCAGGGTCCTGCATCTCGAGCCCATCTCTCCCAGCACTGCCCACAGCCCAGACTACATCCTTCTAAACGAATGTTGCTTGTTCATTCTTTCCACATAAAGACTTGCCTGCCTGTTTTGAAAGCTTTGAGGTTTCCTGCCTGGAATGTACCACCTCTCCCAAGTCACAACAGTGCCTTAGAGCCTACTTGTGCTGAGAGAGCTGCACCGCACCTGCCTCTCTCCCGTGGTTAGCTGAGCCTCCAAGGTGCTCGGTGCTCTGTGGACCTCTTTAGTGCACCTGCCCACCGTGCAGTGAAAGCTTTTCTTCTTCCATATCTGTTCTGTGAGCCAGGCTATGGATTCTGGAGGACAAGGACCGTGTTTATTGTGCTCGGTGTAAGTAGCTGCTACTGAGGGAATGCTTGGTTGGAAGGTTGAGTGAGTGTGTCACAGGAGCAGTGGCCCTGTTCCCTTGACTGCAGAGGGCATTCAGGGAGCCATAGAGGCACCTTTTTCTTCCCCTTCCCAGAGCTTACCAGATCTTTACACTGCCACAGGTTCCAGGAATGCTTGATTTCAGCCATATTGTTATAGAGTTTATGTTACATACGGTGGTGACACAAAGTTGCACAGCCAAGGCAAGTAAAAGGGTTAGTGATGAGGATTCACATAGAGCCTAAGGAGACAGGGAAATCCAAGAATGAATAAGGCTGTTTGCAGGGAAGTTGGTGAGGTAAGGTGCTGCAAAGCCAGGAGTTTGTAGGGCATTGCCCTGGGCACTGGTCCATCCCAGGCCTATCTTCTGAGCTTTTCTCCATACATCCTTAGGTCTGGCTTCCTCAAGATAGCTCATTACCCAGAGGATGCCCTGACACTTGTTTGGTCCATGTCCTTGAAGGACATCATTCAGACTGTACTACGGCTTAATCTGCTGCTCACCTGTGGGCTGCCCACCCCACTCCCTAATCCACGGGGCTGTAGGCATGAGACATGGGACACAGTGGGGCTCCCCCCAACCCCCCGTGGCTGCTGCTTTGGCAGGCGTTGTGAATGGGGTGTTTTTTCCTTTGGAGCAGCTTTGGCTCTTACTCGGCATGTCTTTTCCAGGATGCAGTAATATACAAAATCCCTGATGGGCTTTGTCTAGTTGTCATTCAAAGCACTATGGAATATGACTGTATGATTATTTTGTGAACTCTGCCTCCAGGGAAGACAAGCAGCACGCTGTGGTCTAACTTGCTCTACCCATGGCCCTTGGCCCCGACACTGTGGAGCAGGCCGGGGCTGTTGCTATTTGCTTTACTTGGCCTGCCCTCCTCCTAGGGTGTTAGGGGTGGAAGAAGGTGCAGCTCTGACTGGTTCACTATTTGGAGAGTTGTAGTTTTGTAGAAAATAAAAACAACGACAACAGGGATGATCTTTCTCACACCTTTCTCCTCCCACCCCCTGCTTCCTCAGGCCTTCACCCTTTTCCACCAGGCGAGCGTCTAGGAGGGAATGGCTGCTGTGTCTCTTACCACCAGATGCCAGGTGAGGGGGACTCTTGTGTTTCTGAAATATTCTCCAATCTCCATAATGTCACCACTGCGCTCTTTCCAGGAGCTTCTTCCAGCAGACTCAGCCAGGCAGATGGGGCCTCCTTAGGGCACAATAATTATTTTGTGGCATTCATATTGTATTGGGTATTTTAAGTCTAAAGATGACTTGAAGCATACAGGATGCTTGTGGATTATATGCACACACCATGCCACTTTATGTCAAGGGTTAGAGGGCCCGGCGGTGTGGCCTAGCGGCTAAAGTCCTCACCTTGAACGCACCGGGATCCCATATGGGCGCCGGTTCTAATCCCAGCAGCTCCGCTTCCCATCCAGCTCCCTACTTGTAGCCTGGGAAAACAGTCGAGGATGGCCCAAAGCTTTGGGACCCTGCACCCATGTGGGATGCCCGGAAGAAGTTCCTGGATCCTGGCTTCGGATTGGCATAGCATCGGCCGTTGCGCTCACTTGGGGAGTGAATCATCAGACAGAAGATCTTCCTCTCTGTCTCCCCCCGCCCCCGTGAATCTGACTTTCCAATAAAATAAGTAAAATCTAAAAAAAAAAAAAATATATATATATATATATGTCAAGGATTAGAGCATCCACCGTGTGGGTACGTGCAGGGGATGCTGAAGAATGCCTTTATTTCCTTCCTGTTTGACTCACAGTGTCCTTCAGTGTCCTGTTCTTGCCTTGAGCACATGCCCACTAGCCTGCTACCAGGCATACAACCCACATGGTCCTCGATCTATGTGTTTTACCTAAAAATTGATGGTATGGGTCTGACTGGGGGATTTGGGGAGCAGAGACGTGGTTCTGGTCCTGACTGTTCTTTCATATGTCTATGTGTGACCCCGGTGTCCCTGGGACCATTGGATGAGGCTGGTGAGAAGCATTTTTACAGAGCCCCTCCAAGAGGCTGTGTGTGTCCTGAAGGGTTTTACTGGGTAGAGACATTTGAGTTGCTCTGTTGCTAGCCAAAGGCAGAGGGTCTTAAATGCCATGTTCCAGAATGTCTGTAGATATACCGGATACTCAACCACGGTTTTAGAACCAGGGATACAGATGTAATCTTGCAGAATCACAGACCATTAGAGCAAAATGAGGGATTCTAAAGATGATTCAATTAATGCCATTCTGAGGATTTATAAATAAATAAGGTAAAAAAAATGCAGTTGACAAACTGAATAAGATTAAAAAGATTAAACTGAATAAGATTAAATAAGATTAAATATCAATGCGATTTTCTGGATTTTTTTCTGGTATATTTAAAGTGTGATTATAGATTATACCAAAGAATGTTCTTGTTTTTACAAAATAGACACTGAAATATTTAGGAGCAAAAGGACATGACGTTTACAGTGACTCAAGAAGTGCAGGAAAAGCTAGGAGAATGTACAAGGATATTTCACACTCATGCACATAAGAAATCCTCAATAAAGTTAGTGAAAAAAATGTGTATTGTGGATAGAATATTCATGAACTTTAAAATATTCTGCATCAAAATTAGTTTACCTTTTGATTCCATTTTCCCACAATCTTTAAAAATATACTCTTGAATGTGCAGGCACGGAAAGATAATGTGAGAAATGTTAACACTAGGGAACCAGAGTGATTGGGATTTGGGAATTCTTTGCTCTGTTCCTGCAAGTTTTCTGTAGGTCTCAAAAAGAGCCCATGAATCCCAGCTGTAAATACAGTCATGCCTTGGGGGATCACACGTTTCCTCAAATGCTTCACCCTGCTTTGTCCAAGCCACGCCCCTCCCACCCTGTCCACACCCTGCAGGGTTGTCACGGTTATGACTTGCGTGAGTAAGAAGGGATGTGTTTTCAGGCCCCGGTGACATTTGACGACGTGGCTGTGGTGTTCACGGATGAAGAGTGGCGGCATCTGGTGCCCAGTCAGCGGGATCTCTACAAGGAGGTGATGCTGGAGAACTACCAGAGCATGGTGTCCCTGGGTAAGGCAGGCCTCCTGTGAGGAGCTGACATCTGGGGTCCACAAGCTGGGTGCCCCAGAAACGGACACTAGACTTCTAAACCAGCTGAGAGACAAGCATCAAAGGATGTGGCTTATGTCTACCCCAACCAGGGCTTAACACTGCTGCCATGGTATGAACAGATGCGTCCGCCTAGCCTTAAGCAGCTTACCCCCCACATCTGGTACAGCAGTGAGAGAGCCAGATGGTAGAACAGGGTGTGCACTGGATACAGGGAGCTGGCTCTCCTAAGAGGGCAGGCAGAAGAGGCTGAGTCACATGTACCCAGCTCACCAGCAAGGTGATTTCCTCAGCTCCAGCTGGAGGACTCAGCGCTGAGGTAAGGGCCTGTGCGGAAGAGCGATTTCATGGAGGGAGACAGCGTGTTGCTCTGCAAAGAGGGTGACATGGGCATGGAAGTGCACAGCTCCGAGTAGGTCACCAGAGATGTTTGATGTTGAGTATCTGTTGAGAGGAGCATAAACTGGCTTGTGAAACAGAATGTGTGGAAGGCATTAAGGCAGACTGCTGGTCAGCTGGGCCTGACTGGAAAGGGTCCCTTTTTCCCAAGTTGGAACTCCATGAAAAGAACATTCAGAGCTCAAGTCTAGTTGCAGGAATAACCATATTTTATAATCCCAAATTGGTAGGTTCTTATCAACCAGCTGGTCCTCAGGAAGTAGCAGGTGTCCGTCTAGTGCTGGGTGCGGTACTAAAGCCCTGGGGCTGTGGACTCAAGCCACATCCACATCCTCACATTCCCATCTCGCAGGTGGCACAGAGTCCGGTGTGAGGAGAGGCCCCAGTTGCCGATCCCCCTTCACCGCACACTGGGCTGCGATCCAGCAGTGCTCATCACAGCATGGTTTGCTCATCACAGAACATTCAGAGGAAAACATCCATTCTGGAGAGTCATGAGATTACATTATTTCATAAATGTAATATGTCACCATTAAGATGATAAGGTGGATCTGTGCTAGCTGAAATGAAACACTGTTTTCAACTTATTAGGTGAAAAAACACAGTTCACAAATCAACATAATTTCATTATCCAGCTTTTACAGATGGCTTTCAATAGCAATGAATGCAAGGAAAGAGAAAAAAAAGCATGCAAAATATGAAACGTGATTTCTATTATCCGTACATTGTTTTTAATCTGTATCTCTTTCATTTTCCTACAATTGACATGACTGCCTTGTTTCCAAAAAAAGCATAATACCAGAAATAGACACCCCCAAAGGGTGCCTTCACTCACACTTTTATTCAAGAATGTCCCTTTTCATTCTCACCCCTCAAGCCAAGGACCTTTGTCCTGCCAGTGCTACACCCGGGAGCTTCCCATTCATTTTACAAGGAAGAATAAACCCATGAACTCCAGTGGATTCTGTTGGGACTGCATTGTAGCACAGTGGGTTAGGCGGTTGCCTTTGACGTTGTACCATTTGTTCCCCTTTTAGAAATGAAGTTTTAACCTTCTGACTGAGTGGTTTCTCTGCCTTGTATTCTGAAATTCTGGCCTGTGCCACCTTCTGCCCGTGGCATTTTTCCTCTCTGAAAAACTTACAGGCTGAGTTTAAGCTCTGGAGTAGGTGTGTCTGATTCATCCTGCACAGCCACCTGGCTTGTTTTCCTCTCTTCCTGAGCAGGGCTTCCGGTTCCACAACCTGCTGTGATTTTTCAACTGAAGCGAGGGGATGAGCCGTGCATAGCAGATCTCCATGGGCCTGAGGGAAAAGAATGGCCAGAGGACATCCACCCAGGTACCAGTGTGAACAGGAGGAGGCAGAACTTTGTTTAGTCCTGTGTGTGTTCTCTGTGGGGGTGGGGAGGGATACTGAGCAGCATTTACTCAAAGCCTTCCGCAGATTTCTCGGTCAGTGTTCTCAGATTTGTGCAGTGTCCATTCACGCTCTCGTTTTCCGGTGGATCAGCATCATCTCTGGCCATCCTAATCTCCCACTTAGGCTGGCCATCCTCCCAGTGGACAGCCATCCTCCCCATCCTCCCAGTGGACGGCCTCCTGTGTTCTGATACATCACCATCCGTTCTCTCTCCCGCCACCGTCCTGAGTCCCACATTTCACTCTCCATCTAGTGTAAAACTCAGTTGGGGAGCAAGCCACGTAGAAATCACCGGAGTTTCAGCTTCATTGGAATATCTCTTTTCCACTGTAGTGCTTCCTACCTCAGCAAAAGAAGCTGCATCTATGTTTTCTGTTTGTTTCAGACTGGGAGACTGAGCTCCAGGAGACCTCAGAGGAAGAACAGTCAGAAGGCATATTGAGGGCAAGGTTGGGACGACGGAGTCCTCTGTGTCCTAAACTTGAAATTCAAGTACCAGAGGGTGCGTCGGACACTGGGAAGAGAAGCTCTGTGGTGGACAGTTGCAAGAAATCCCTTTCGCAGGAGAAAAACTTAAGGCAGGGGTCAGCCGCACCCAAGAAAGTCGTCGCTAAAGAGAGAGATCAGGAATGCAGTGACTGTGGCAAGACCTTTTTTGACCACTCGTCCCTCACCCGCCATCAGAGGACGCACACTGGGGAGAAGCCGTACGACTGTCGGGAATGCGGGAAAGCCTTCAGTCACAGGAGCAGCCTGAGCAGACACCTGATGTCCCACACCGGGGAGAGCCCCTACGAATGCAGCGTGTGCGCCAAGGCCTTCTTCGACCGCTCCTCCCTGACCGTGCACCAGCGCATCCACACCGGAGAGAAGCCCTTCAAGTGCAGTGAGTGTGGGAAAGCCTTCTTCGACCGGTCATCGCTGACGCGGCACCAGAGAATCCACACTGGAGAAAGCCCGTACGAGTGTCGGCAGTGCGGGAAAGCCTTCAGCCAGAAAAGCATCCTGACTCGTCACCAGCTCATCCACACGGGCAGGAAGCCTTATGAGTGTACCGAGTGCGGGAAGGCCTTCTACGGCGTCTCATCCCTCAACAGACACCAGAAAGCCCACGCGGGGGAGCCGCGCTACCAGTGCAGCGAATGCGGCAAAGCTTTCTTCGACCGCTCATCCCTTACGCAGCATCAGAAGATCCATACGGGTGACAAGCCGTACGAATGCAGCGAGTGTGGGAAAGCCTTCAGCCAGAGATGCCGGCTGACGCGGCACCAGAGGGTTCACACGGGAGAGAAGCCCTTCGAATGCAGCGTGTGCGGGAAAGTCTTCAGTTCAAAGTCGTCCGTGATTCAGCATCAGCGGCGGTACGCCAAACAGGGCATAGACTGAGAGGGGTGACGCTTGTGTCGGTCTTCCCCATCCTCACCGGGGATGTCCTGCGCGCCTTCCAGCCACTCTGGCCACGCTGCCGATCTCCGGTCCCGCCTCTGCTTGGAATAAACACTAGATCTGCTGTGGCCTATGGCCTGGATGCGGGTTGCCAGGAAGGAGGCAATGAAAGGGTCACACTTAGGAGGGGTCTGTCGCAGAGGTCAGGAGGAGACCCTGGGCCACACTGTGAGTCTGAGAGCCCGGGTCCCAGGGTGTCGCACTGCACTTTAAACAGCTGCAGGCTGCAACGAGAGGAGAGCGCAGGAGGACACCAGGGCGGCACTGTCGGGTTTCTTCCTCAGAAGAGTTTGCGTTTAGAGCCTTTGGTTCCTCTCTCTGCAGGCACTGACATTGCTGTCTGTGTCCCAGCTTGTAGATCTCTTACAATTACTACTAACTAGCTAGCACTTATCAGGGTGTCAACACTCAGCTACGAGTTTTAGAAGGAACAGGTTGATTCTCTGTCCTAGGAAGGGAACAACTGTCCCTCTGTTTTACAGAAGAGCCCGTTCAGAGTCAGTAACTTGCCCGAGGTGACATAGCTAGTGAAGGTCAAGCCAGGTCTCAAATACAGTTCTACCTTCAAAATATATTCTCTGTCAGGTTTATTTATTTCATAATCTATGTACATGTATTATCTCTTCGACTAGATGGGAAGCACTTGGAGCTGTGACTTTCAGGTCTTTGTATCTCATACAGTGCCTTGCAGATAATAGGTGCTCAATAAATATTTATCTGAACGCATGGATGTTCATTTTTACATTCGGAACACCTCTTGGATTCCTATTCCTTCTCCGAGTTTTTATAGCCCTGTCTTATTAGCAGGGGTCACTTCCCAATTCTGGGTCTTCATCGTTCATTATTGAAGAGGCATTGACTGAGCTAGGATGCAGACACCAGCTCCTAAGTGAACACGTCTCTCACAGAAGCTCTAACGCTAGCCCTCCCTCCATCCTCCCAAATCACCATGAAGGGGCGAATGGAAAGCGAAAGGAATTTGTGAGATACTTTTAAGGGTCAGTCTCAACAATCACCCTTCTGTCATGTTTAACATATGTCATTTTCTGGCCATACCTGATAAGCCAGGATCTGGCCCCTCAGTAGTTGATCTATACCAAGAGCCATTGTCATGGTTTATATTTTGCATATTGTGGTTAGGCCAGTCGTTAACACTTTCCCCTCCTTTCCTCACCATCGCCTTCCTCAGCACCTAAAATGGCCCCTATTTAACGAAGACTTCCTTGAATAGTTTACATTTTCCTTAGTGCAGTACCCATTGCTAATCTTCATTTGCACACTCCCAAAACTCCTCTTTCTCTGGTCCCAGCCATACTATTAAAGATCAGGCAGCACACAGCCTTGACTCCATGCAGCTGCATTGCTTTTCACAAGTATTTGTAGAGAAGGATGTGGTTCTGCAAGGCTATCTGGAATTGAACCGCCCTACTTGAATTTCAGTTCAAATTCCAGTGATTCGTGATGAATTTCCCCTAGTAGTGAAAGTCAGACAATAAGTTGCCAGAGACACTTGCGAAATGTGCCAACAACCCTGTTAATCTTGGTCTACCTTAGAGAAAATCAGCAGCAGGAAGAATGGAGATTTTACAAGTTACAGAGAGATCTTCGTCTGCTGGCTCACTCCCCAGTTGGCCCCAGCAGCCAAGGCTGGACCACATCCAAGTCAGGATGTGTCTCCATGTGTCTCCCATAGGGTTTGCAAGGGCCTAGGCTTTCAGACCATCCTCTACTGCTTTGCCAAGTACAGTAGCAGGAAGCTGGACTGGAAGCAGAGCAGCTGGGACTTGAGCCAACACTCATGTACAGTCCCTAGCACGTCCTTTCTTAATGGGGCAAATTATATATCTAGTGGTTTGTGAATATATTTGCCTTTGTATTTAACTGGGATTTGACAGATGCCTGATGGAGCTGCTTTGAAAATATATTTATTTAGGACCCAGCTCATTGGCTAAATCCTCACCTTGTAAGCACCGAGATCCCATATTCATGCTGGTTTGTGTCTTGGCTGCCCCACTTCCCATCCAGCTCCCTGCTTGTGGCCTGAGAAAGCAGTAGAGGATGGCCCAGGTCTTGGGGACCCCATACCTACATGGAAGACCCAGACGAGGCAGTAGCTCAACCCTGCATGTTGTGGCTGTTTGGAGAGTGAACCAGTGGATCGAAGATCTTCCTCTCTGTCTCATTTTCTCTCTGTAAATCTGATTTGCCATTACAATAAAAATAAATAAAAATATTTCACATACATATATTTACTTGTTTAGCAAAGTAATACATAATGATCATTCCTTATCCAAAACACTTGGGACCATTATGGAGTTTTATGGATTTGGGGATGTTTACAGGCTTTGCCAGTTAAGCATCCCTAATCCAAACATCTGGAATTACTGAATTTCACACTGGTGCTCCACACATTTTAAATTTAAATTTAAATTGCCAAAGAGGCAATGAATGGCCTTGGATTGGGTAGGGTGTGCAGGATGCATAATGGTTGGACTAGAACTCTCACTTCAGGTTAAAAAAAAATGTATTATGCAAAATTGAGAAGGTACAACCTCTTTGGGAATTATCCTAAGAGGAAACATATCAGAAAAAATTGGTCCCAGTTTTGCCTAAAAATTGGGGAAAATGAAAAGAGCCTAGATATTAATCATTGGGACTTACATGGATGAATTACACATATACAGTGGACTTACAGTATCATTTGTGCTTTCACAATAATGGGATTTATAGAACTAGGTATTAATGAAATATGATTGACTGCTAAAAGGTTATAACATGTTTGGAACTTGAGAATATTTACAAGCTATGCATAGGAAAAATATCTAGAAGAATCCACACCAGGAAAAAAAAACGAAAAACAAAGTTAACTCCTAATTACTTTTGACTGGAAGGCTTACAATTTCTCCTTTACACTTTTTTATATTTCCTCATCTCCAGGGAGCATGGAACATTTTAAAATATTTCTTGAACCACAAAGAAAATGAGGAAACACATCTTTATGTATTCTGAATGGTGAATACCAAACTGTACACAGTGGCTACTTCATGGGAGAGAAATAGAAGATAAGGGCAGGCTTCCATCTTAGTGTTAATGGTCATGTTTTCTTAAGTTGAGTGCTGGGTTTATAGGTATTTATGTTCATATTTATGCCATGTATATTTCTTAAGGGTTTTTCCCCCCCAGATTTATTTGCTTTATTTGAAAGGCAGATTGACAGAGAAAAATCTTTCATTCACTGGATTATCCTCCAGATGCCTGCAAGTGTTGGGGCTGGGCCAGATAGGAGCCAAGACCTTGAATTCCATCCAAAGGGCAATGGACCAAGTCCTGCCATCTCTCCACGTACATTAACTTCAAGCTGGACCTGAAGCAGAGCATCAGGACTCAAAGAAGGCACTCCAACGTGGGATGCCAATGCCACAGATGGCAGATTAACAGGCTGTAACACAACACAAGCCCCTTCAGTTTTAATGCTTTTCAAAGCTAAATAGAGGGATAGGCGTGGTAGCCTAGTGGCTAAAGTCCTCACCTTGAATGTGCCGGGATCCCATATGGGTGCAGGTTCTAATCCCGGCAGCCCCACTTCCCATCCAGCTCCCTGCTTGTGGCCTGAGAAAGCAGTGGAGGGTGGCCCAAAGCCTCGGGACCCTGCACCCGTGTGGGAGACCTGGAAGAAGCCACGGTGCTAGCACACATGGAGCCTTGTGTCAGATGGATGAATAATGGAGCTGGGCACAGCGAGGCCTTGGCTGTTGGTGTCTGTTGCGGGCGACAGTAAAGGGGGAGGGTTGAGATCTTTCTTTCAACATTGATAATACTTCCTCATCTTCCCTGGTTATCTTTTGCCCCACTCCATCCTCTTTTTTTCTAATTCCATCCTGTCTTCATGGACAGTTCGCTTCTCTGATGCCAGCCTATCTCCCTACTTCCTCCCTGCTGTCTACCCCCCTAACATGCAACCACTGCCCCTTCATTCCTACACTTCTCTCCCAGTTTCCTGCGAGTGCTTTGCCTACAATGCTCTTCTTCTGGCCACCCATGTGGTCAAACGTCTTCTCCTCAGTTAAGTCTCAGCTGAAATGTCACTTCCAGACGACCCTTGTTGAGGATCCCTCTCCAACTCTGGTTTAGCTTTGCTCTTTCCTTCACCGTGCTATACTTGTATCTGTCTAGTAGAATGGAAGCCCTCTGAGGGTAGGGACAATGTTTCTCCAGTTCACTACACTCCCAGTGACTTCTTCCTACATCTAGCAGTTAATAGACATGCTAGATAATAAATATCTGATGGACAAGTACCGATACTTGCATTTTGGGCCAAATGCCCTTCTTCCGTTTCCTTTTCTTTTTTAAAAAAGATTTTTATTTATCTCTATTGCAAAGTCAGATATACAGAAAGGAGGAGAGACAGAGAGGAAGATCTTCTGTCTGATGATTCACTCCCCAAGTGGCTGTAACGGCCAAAACTGCACCGATCCAGAGCCAGGAACCAGGAGCTTCTTCTAGGTCTCCCACGTGGGTGCAGGGTCCCAAGGGTTTGGGCCATCCTCGACTGTTTTCCCAGGCCACAAGCAGGGAGCTGGATGGGAAGTGGAGCTGCCGGGATTAGAACCAGCACCCATATGGGATCCTGGTGCACTCAAGGCGAGGACTTTAGCAGCTAGGCCACACCACACTGGGTCCCATCTTCCATTTCTAATCTCTATTTGTCTCTTATTTCTCAGCCTCTACTTTTTAAGGAGCTCCTAATAAGATCAGCAATATTTTGTATTCAGGTTTTTTTTTCTTGAAATAAATAGCCTTTTCCTTTGCATTCGTGCTTAAAAACCAGTGACGTCTGTTTTTCTATTTGTTTTAGACCAGACATCTAGACTTGACAGGATGTAAACTCACAAAAGCATACTAGTGGAAAACCTCAGGAAAAGATGATCCTTTAGGCCTTGCACTTGACCCTGAAAAGTCCGAGAGCAGACAGGAAGAAACTCGTGTTGCAGGGAGAGTTTGGAGAAATCCCTCAAAGACAGTTCAAGGGAAGACTCCACTGTGACATACAACGTGGGCATCTTAACTGCTGGGGTGTCTCCAGGAAAATCAGGGTCTCTGCCTGAGCCCCTTCTAGCTGCAGCTTATGTCCATTTCAGTACCACCGTCTCAATAAAGAGTCTTACTATGCCACGACTTCCCTAGCAGGTTTCAAATGAACATTCCAAGATAGCTCCAAATTGGTCAGGTCTTCAATATGATTTCTCTCTTTCTTAAAAAAAAAATAGTTTTATTTGAAAGGCAGATTTTGCAGAGAGGAGAGGCAGAGAAAGGTCTTGTATGTGCTAGTTCACTCCCCAAATGGCTGCAACAGCTAGAGCTGAACTGATCCAAAGCCAGGAGTTTCTTCAAGGTCTCCCATGTTGGTGCAGGGACCCAAGAACAGGAGCCATCCTCTGCTGCTTTCCCAGACAACAAGCAGGGAGCTGGACTGGAAGTGCAGCAGCTGGGATTAGAACCGGTGCTCCATTGGGATGCCAGCACTGCAGACAGATTTGCTTGCTACACCACAATGCTGGCCTGTAGTCATTTTGTTTAGGCTCTGCCAATCTTTGGGCATCCTGAACATACCCCCTTATCTTTCTCATGTATTTCCTTGTGACTTCTTAGGAGAAAAATATTTGGAGCTGGCATTGTGGAATAATGGGTAAAGACACCGCCTGCAACCCTGGCATCCCCTAAGGATGCCAGTTCCAAGACTCAGCTGCTCCACTTCTGATCCAGTTCCCTGCTAATGCACCTGCGAAAGCAGTGGAAGATGGCCCAAGTGGGAGACCTGGATGGAGTTCCAGGCTTCTGGCTTCAGTCTGGCCCAGCCATTCTGGTAGATGAATCAGCTCCTTCTCTATCTCTTACTATCTCTGTCACTCTTCCAAATACACAAATACATCTTCAGAAGAAGAAAAGCTGCTAAAGAGGTGAATGATCAATTATCCTCAGGTTGGCAGTTCAACTTATGGAGCCATCTCACAGATTCAGGCAGACGAGGGAGCCTGATGAGGAGTATGCCCTATGGGGTTTGCTCAGGAACTGGAGGTGGGGGAAGAGATACGGAGAAGCGGCGACTTGAAGGTGTCTCAGTTGCAACAAACAGAGGACAGAGCTGGCAAGTACTGAATGGCGGCTTTGAGGCACCTGTCTTCGTGCAGTCCCAGGGATCGGTTCTTCTTAGAAGCTGACCATGGCTGAGCCCAGGGGATCATCGGGGTTGTGTGCCGAGGTGCAGCCTGCAGCAAGCATCCCTACTCACTTGCGGTCACCTGAAGTCATCTGGGCCACAACGGAAGGGGCAGCAGTGGAAGCCGACGCGGGAGGGAGAAGCTGCAGCCTTCCTCCTCGAGCAAGGCACGCCAGTGCAGCGGGCATCCCGCGGGGCCGAGGCGCAGAGCACGGCAGTGCAGCAGGCACGCCGCTCCGCATCGTCATCTAGGGAACCGAGATGCTTCGAGTGGCACCTGCCAGGCAGCAAATCTGGGCACGCCCCAAGGTCCTCTGGGAAGGGGCGTTCGGGGCGCGCCATGCGGAGGATTCTGGGAGTTGTAGTTTATATGCTCGAAGTTGGCCAGAGCCACTGAGCCTGGATGCCTCTTAGATGCTATTGTTGCCTGTCTCCACTACGTCGGGCGTGAGGCGCGGCCAGGAGTGAAGCACCGCTCCTTCCAAGTCTGCACGGAAAGAAGGCGGCGGGGAGACCCCCGAGTGCGGGTGCTGGGCCCCAGTCGAGACCCCCGACCCTGCTTTCCCTGTGATTGTCGTCTCGGCTGGACCGGAGGAGGGAGGCGCCATGGAGGTCCAGGGCAGAGGTGAGGTTTGGGAGTGTTGGGGACGTAGGAGAAGGAGGGAAAGGCTGCCCTCTGGCTGGGACGGGCTCGGGAAGGAGAGCTGGGCTCACATTGCGGTTTCTGGGACTAAGGGGTTTCATCTCCCCCCTGCGACCGCCAAATCAACAGGTCTGACAGACTGCCTTTTGTCCGCCCTATTTGACAGATAGGATTCGCGACGTGGTAGCATTTCTTTAGAATCCTGGTGTTCCTGTGTGGTGCTTTTCCCAGACTCAACATTTTTCACAGGTAGCCAGGATTGCATCTGAAAAGCACAAAATCATTTAGCCCGGAGGCAGCAGTGTTGGCCCACACTGGATACACAGAAACTTCCAGTTTGCCTTGGGCTGCCCCACCACGGAGAGGACAGACAGACGCGTTCCAGTTACAGGTCCAGAATCTCGGGCGAAAGGCCAGTGGGGAGCCGTGGCGCCCAGTGTCAGGGCTGCCTTGATTCGGAGATGGTGTGAGAATGTTCTGCGGTTGCTGCGTTGATTCTCGTTAGATGTCGAGAAGCTAGTGTGTGGCCGCAAGGCCAGAGTAACCGTGCTGGCCCCTGTCTCCGCTTCTAGGATCCCTTTCGGAGGAGTCAGACCCTCTCGGTGCTGGAAACCCGAAAGAAGCTGGCGAGACAGCGGTGCTGCTGACGGCTGGTTCCCAGGTACAGTGTCCGATGGTTTTATGATTCCTCTGTTTGCAGTGCCGGTTCCCTAGAATGCTGGTGCAGCCTACTGAGCTGATACCAACCGCATAGGAAGTGCCAGCGTTGCTTCCGCTAACCCGGGGAGTGTTTGCTGTACACCTCCCAACCATTCAGAGTTGTAAATTGGACTCAAACTGAGATGCAAGGTCATAAAAGCCGCTTTTTTTTTTTTTTGACTAACGGAGTTTAATAATGTAAAATCTACATGAGTGAATAAACAATGTGAAGAAATATGGTTTTTCTTTTCAAGATTTAATTACTTATTTGGAAGCCAGAGGAGAGAGAGAGAGAGAAAGGGAGAGATGAAAAAGGATCTCCCATCTGCTGTGGCCATGCCCAAGAGGCCACAAGGGCCGGAGCTGGATGGGTAGAAAGCCAGAAGCCAGGAGCTTCCTCCACGTCTCCCGTTTGGGTGCAGGGGCCCAAACACTTGTTTCCCAGATACATCAGCAGGACGCTGGATTGGAAGTGGAGCAGCCAGGACATGAACCGGCGCTCCTACGGGATGCTGGCACCTCAGGCACCACCTGGTGCCTCACACTGCTGGTCCCAAACTATGTATTTTTAAAACTAAGAATTGACTGATACAGATAAATCATGGAAGATACTTCAAAAGATTTCTTTTCATTACCTGGAATGTTGGGGAAAGGTTTATGATCAAAACTGCACTTGGAAAAACCCAGAGAAATTGAGTTGCTGGAGACTTGAGGACAGCAGTCTTCTTAGAGAGAGCAGCTTTGGGGGAAATGCTCAAAGAATTGGAGTTCTTCAAGGGGTGCGCGAGGCCCCGTGGGACCAGCTCCCGTGTGCTTCGTGGTCTAGCGGGACAGAAAGTCTTTTCCGTGTGTGTAACCAAAGAGAACAGAACCTCGTGCTGCAGGAGAGGCTGGGAAGGCACCCCTGGAGGCGTGAGCCTGTGTGCGATGGGATTGCAATACCTGAAAGGATTGAGCGGTGGGGAGTTGTGCAGGAGCCACAAGTGGCAAAAGAGGAGATGGCACACATTGCGGCAGCTGAAAGATGGCCTGTGATTGGGGCACAGAGAGAGTGAAGATGGCGCCTTGAGAGGTGGAGTTAGATGACAAGGACGCTGTAGGCAGCTCTCATAAGATTTTGAAATTGAAGGCCTGGTGCAGTAGCCTAGCAGCTACAGTCCTCACCTTGAACGCGACAGGATACCATATGGGCGCCGGTTCTAATCCCGGCAGCTCCACTTCCCATCCAGCTCCCTGCTTGTGGCCTGGGAAAGCAGTTAAAGATGGCCCAAAGCCTTCTGCACCCACATGGGAGACCCAGAAGAAGTTCCTGGCTCCTGGCTTTGGTTTGGCTCAGCTCTGGCCTTTGTGCCTCACTTAGGGCGGTGAACCAGCAGATAGAAGATGTTTGTCTCTCCTTCTCTCTGTAAATCTGCCTTTCCAATAAAAATAAATAAATCTTGACCAAAGAAGAAGGAGAAGAGAGAACAGGAGTCATTTTCTGACTTTATCCTTCCTGTCCCCCTCCGTGCTGTCAGCTTCAGCTGACCTCTGGGAGGAGGCCGCTGTGAGTGCCCATGTGTTTGTTTTCTTCAGGGATCAGTCAACAAGGACGCGGCTGGAACCCTCAGCCCTTGGGGGCCGCTGAATCCCCCCGGAGCAGTCATCCTGGAGGAGCCTAGGAATCTGGTCTTGCTGGGTAAGGCTGCCTTCTCCAGGGCCGGTGGGTTTCCCCAGTGTCGTACCTTGGCTCCTGCAGTTCCTCGGAGCGCTGAGGTCTTAGAGTCAAAGATTCTTAATTCCTCCACAGCCCGAGACAGGCAGTGTCAACCCTGCTTTGCCCCCTAGATGTAGCTTAATACTGCTGGTGTTAAGAACAAGCACCTTGCGGGCCTGGCGCAGTGGCGCAGTGGTTAAGGTCCTCACCTTGCACGCCCCGGGATCCCATATGGGCGCCGGTTCTATCCCGGCAGCCCTGCTTCCCTTCCAGCTCCCTGCCTGTGGCCTGGGAAAGCAGCCGAGGACGGCCCAAAGCTTTGGGACCCTGCACCCGCGTGGGAGACCCGGAAGAGGCTCCTGGCTTCGGACTGGCATAGTATCGGCCGTTGCGCTCACTTGGGGAGTGAATCATCGGATGGAAGATCTTCCTCTCTGTCTCTCCTCTCTGTATATCCGCCTTTCCAATAAAAAAAAATAATAATAAAAATAAATCTTTAAAAAAAAAAAAAAAAAGAACAAGCACCTTGGGCCTGGCGCGATGGTGTAGTGGTTAAGGTCGCTTTGCACGCCCGGGATCCCATATGGGCACCGGTTCTAATCCCGGCAGCCCCGCTTCCCTTCCAGCTCCCTGCCTGTGGCCCGGGAAAGCAGTTGAGGACGGCCCAAAGCTTTGGGACCCTGCACCCGCGTGGGAGGCCCGGAAGAGGCTCCTGGCTTCAGATTGGCTGAGCTCTGGCCACACGGCTGCCTGGGGAGTGAATCATTGGATGGAAGATCTTCCTCTCTGTCTCTCCTCTCTGTATATCCACCTTTCCAATAAAAATAAAATAAATCTTTAAAAAAAAAAAAAAAAAAAAAGAACAAGCACCTTTATCTCACAGGCCTCTGGCATTTGTCTGCACTCCCTCAGCAAGAATTTTGGGACAGATTTCTCATGGAAATAGCTGTGAAGAGGGTAGATGCTTATTCTTCCAATAGGGAAAGGTAAAAACGGGCAACGTAATTCTGAACTCTAACCCCTATCTTGATTGTCCTTCCATCTAAGCACTGTTGAGAAAGTAATGAGTCGAACCCTGCCTCCTTCACCCGTCTCTCCCTGGTGTCCATCAGAACAAAGGAGCTGGCATTGTGGTCTGCGGCCGTACCACCCTGAACCTGCCGGATCTCAGAGCAAGGGAGCTAATACTGAGTTCTTTACCAGATTTTTTTTTCCTCTTCATTCTCACGTACAGGGCTTCCCATTTCCAAACCGGATGTCATGTTGCAGTTGGAGCATGGGGAGGAGCTGGAGACAGAAGCATCGGAAGCAGCCGGTGCAGGTGAGTGCGTGTTGGAGGTGGTGACGGTGGAAGTCCCAGGCTCAGGGCTGTGCTTGCACAGTAGCCTCTTTCAGAGATTGCTGGAAGAGCTGTGCAAAGACGGAAGTTCCCAGACCTAGCTCTGCGGAGGAGGATCTATTCATAAAGTCAGGATTTCATTCTTTTACAGGATAAATATTTTCCACCTTTTCAGAGCAATTCTTTCTCCAAAATAAGATGAAATGAACCTGACATTTTGATGTTTATGAATAACTTGGGGGATAGTGCTAACTATGCTCTCCGATGGGTGACTGTGAGTTCAGCTTTGCCTTAGCGTTGTGGTGAAGAGCACAGATTCTGGGGCCGGTCTTTCTGGGTTCAAAGCCGATCGTAGCTACTCACTAGCTCTGTGCCCTCTCACAAGTGACTTAGTATCTCCGTGACTCAAACTCCCCCAAGTGTTAAAACGGGGAGAATGATAGCACTTAACTTACAGGGTTGTGATGAAGATCAAGTGAAAAAAAAAATCCAAGTGAAATGTTTAGAATAGTACCTGGCCATAGACGATGGCTATCTATTTAAGATCTAGTGATGTTGTCTTGAGAGATGTGATCTTGTGGCTGGTGCGATAGTGCCAGCATTGTGTATGGTCACCAGTTAGAGTCCCAGCTGCTCCATTTCTGACCCAAATACCTTTTTAAAACAGCAGAGGATGGCTCCCCTGCACCCGTGTGGGAGACCCAGAAGAAGCTCCTGGCTCCTGGCTTTGGATCGGTTCAACTATGGCTGTTGCAGCCACTTGGGGATTGAAACAGCAGATGGAAGTTCTCTCCCTGTAACCTCCTTTCAAATAAAAAAGAGAAAGATGTGAGTTTGACCTTGTCACTTCTGTTATACTGAACTACCATATTACACTACCAACTAATTCTTTTTTATCCTTATTGCTGAATAGCTGAGACCAAATAGTACTACTCGATTCCCAGTGAGTTCCTCACTCTGCCAATGCTTCTGGTCTTCTGCCTACCCTCCTGGCCTTCTGGAGGCCTAACCCTTTGGCTTTCTGTGTTCTCCAACTTGAACCCTTACGATGAGACAGGCAGGTCCCTTCCTGTCCTTGCTGACCATGAGTTCTTCATGAAGATCTTGCCTGTCACTTCTGCCAGCTGGAAGTCCATCGGGCTTTACCCTATTGCTGCTCTGACAAGCCAGACACATCCCTGTATGGGGTGTGAGCATGCTCTGTTGTACTGTCGGTTCATATAGACCTGTGGTTGGAACAGGTGTTGAAGATTGTCCAGACAGTTTTAGCCAGGAAACCTTTCCCCCTAAACTCTTTTTGGGGGAATCCCAGGATCTTAGGACAGGTATCCTGACAGTTTGGAGTCTGAGCACAAAGGCCGTTGACCTTTCACCCTGCCCCGCTAACTGCTCTTTTTCCTTTTTCTTTTTTAACTTTATTTTCTCTTATTCCTTCTAATTAGCTGAGTTGGGGGGAGGGGCGATGATATTAGGCAATCAAGTGAGTGATTGTTTTCTGATTGCTGTACTTTGTAATAATTTCAGTTTGTAAATCTCAAGCATGTTGAATGCCAGTTTCTAGGATTCATATCTCATCTCGAGACATAACCAGAGGCGTGTGTGTGTGCGTGTGTGTGTGTATGTGTATGTGTGTGTGTGTGTGTATGTGTGCGTGTGTGTGTGTGTAAAGGGATAGTTGTTACAGACTTATGAAGAGGACGTATTAAAGTGGGAAGATTGATGGCAAGATGATGATGTTCTGGTGGGTTGGGTACAGTGGGTCATTCACAGGAAATCTTTTTTTCCGTTCTCATTACTCACTCTTCCAAATTTGGTTTCTGTCTGCCGATTTCCCATATCACTTCCACTAGCTTAAGTATTATTATTATTACTGTTGTTATTATTTGAAAGGCAAAGTGTCGGAGAAAGAGAGAGAAAGCGTTTTCCCATCCACTGCTTCACTCTCGCAAGTGGCCACAGCGGCCAGGGCTGGGCCAGTTGGACGCCAGGAGCCAGGATCTCCAGGTGGGAGATAGGGACCCAAGCATTTGAGGGCATCTGCTGCTGCTTCCCTAGGAGTGCTGGCAGGGAGTTGACTTAGAAGTGGAGCTCGGTACTCTGTCGTGGAGTGCCGGCATGGGAAGCGGTGGCATAACTTGCTTCACCACAGTGCTGGCCTTACCTCAGCTAAATCTTGTTCTCATTTCTTTTTTTTTTTTTAAGATTTATATTTTTTTTTATTGGAAAGTTAGATTTACAGAGAGAAGAAGAGACAGAGAGAAAGGTGTTCCATACACTGGTTCACTCCCCAAGTGGTTGCAGGGCTGGAGCTGATCTGAAGCCAGGAGCCAGGAGCTTCTTCCGGGTCTCCCACACAGGTGCAGGGTCCCAAGGCTTTGGGCCGTCCTCCACTGTTTTCCCAGGCCACAAACAGGAAGCTGGATGGAAAGTGGAGCAGCTGGGATGCAAACCAGCACCCGTAGGGGATTCTGGCACATGTAGACAAGGACTTTAGCCACTAGGCTACCGTGCTGGGCTTGTTCTCATTTTTTTACCTTGTTGCAGGGAGGAATGCTGAGTACTTGCTAACTTTCTTCTTTCGTGCACATCTCCTTTACCCAGTCCTCTTTCTTTTCTCGTAGTCTCTCAAGTTTGCAAGGCGATTTCTGAGCACTTCCGAGTTCATGTGTCTCCTGGAAATGCTTAGCTTGCTTCATTAGTTCCCTACCGCAGCAGTTCTTTTCTTTCCAAGTAGGAAATAATATCTGTGTATTTTGCTTCTTTCAGACTGGCAGGGAACACCAGAAAGCAAGGTGCCCAATCTAGAGAAAGATGTTTCTGCAGAGGGACCAGCCCCTGGCATGCTAATACAGAGATTTCCAAAGGAAGGTTCCAGTGAGTGTGAGGATTCCTTGGAGAGTCAGCAAAAAAAACATGAGAAACATTTAATACAAGAAGTTGTGACTCAAAAGAAATCTGGGGAGAGAAGTCACCGTCAACATGACACATGTCAACGAAATTGTAGCTGGAGGTCCCTGCTTGTTCAGCAGCAAGGAGAGCGACTATATAGCTGCGATTCCCTTCAGAGGCAATTAAAACAGAATTCAGACATAACTAGGCATGAGAGAATTTGTGCAGGAAAGAAACCTTGGAAGTGTGGTGAGTGTGAAAAGGCCTTCAGTTACTACTCAGCTTTTGTCTTGCATCAGAGAATTCACACCGGAGAGAAACCCTACGAATGCCAGGAATGTGGCAAAGCCTTTAGCCAGAGCATCCATCTCACGCTCCACCAGAGAATTCACACCGGAGAGAAACCCTACCAGTGCTGCGAGTGCGGGAAAGCCTTCAGCCACCGCTCGGCCCTCATCCGGCACCACATCATCCACACCGGGGAGAAGCCTTACGAATGCAACGAGTGTGGCAAGGCCTTTAACCAGAGTTCCTACCTCACTCAGCATCAGCGCATCCACACCGGGGAGAAGCCCTACAGGTGTAATGAGTGTGGCAAGGCCTTCAGCCAGAGCACCTTCCTTACCCAGCATCAGGTCATCCACACGGGAGAGAAGCCCTACAGGTGTAATGAGTGCGGCAAAGCCTTCAGCGATCGGTCAGGCCTCATTCAGCACCAGAGAACCCACACCGGCGAGAGGCCGTACGAGTGTGGCCAGTGCGGGAAGGCCTTTGGCTACTGTTCCGCCCTGACTCAGCACCAGAGAACTCACACCGGGGAGAAACCCTATCAGTGCCACGATTGTGCCAAAGCCTTCAGTGACCGCTCAGCGCTTATTCGTCACCAGAGGACTCACACTGGAGAGAGACCTTACAAGTGTAAGGATTGCGGGAAAGCCTTCAGCCAGAGCTCATCTCTTACAAAACACCAGAAAACACACACGGGAGAGAAACCATACAAGTGTCAGGACTGTGGCAAAGCCTTCAGTCAGAGTTCGTCCCTTTCTCAGCACCAGAGAACTCACGGCGGGGGGGAAAAGCAAGGAACACAGACGAGGCTGTAGTGAGCGCTCAGGCTTTGGCCAGCAAAAAAGAATTCATACTGGCTAAGCACGGAATGTTCGGTGTATTTTGCTTAGGTGCTTACCAGACATACTGTGCAGGCAACAAAAATATGTGAAGAGTGTGATGCAAAAGGACTGGAAGTCACTGTTGATGGGAAGCATAGCTTACTTAGACCGTGATGGGAAGGGTGTTAACATTTAAGAGCATCCTCGGGGAGGACCCTGAATTCTCCCCGAGAAAACAGAATTCTCTCTAGCACACGAGTGTGTGTCCGTGTGTGAACTAACACATCCTTGAGAAAGAAGTTGCCATAGTGGAAAGATGGGCTAGATAGTATAATGCTAACAGGCTAATGTTTCTAAAGAGAAAAATGGTCCTTTTGGGGGGAGAAATAAGACAGGGAGAGTTCACAGTGAGTGTGTCCAGGGTGGAATGTGGTGGAGGGTGGCAAGTTGTGCTTTAGTTTTAAGTACAGGAACATTATGGAGGTAGATGGGAAAGGAAGAGGCATGGGGGCAGCTGGGTGGGACAGCCACTCACCTGAATATTTACAGCCAGGAAAAAGGTAGGACTGTTTAGTGGACAAGTGGCCAGCGTCCTGTGGGAGCAGCTTTCCCCTGAAGCTGAGGAGTCTTAGCCTGCGGGTCTGCCCCTGGACCTTTGGCCTTTTAGACCTCGCGTGTGAAGATGCTGCTTAGCAAGGACCATGTTCATGTCAAAGCCAGGAGCTGCGGGTCACGCAGGGAGAGGACACGAGAGGCCTCTGGTGTGTCCAGGGTTTGCAGCTGTGTCACCTGTGAATGTGCTTATTTATAAAGATTTACCTCAGTTCTGTGTCGTCTGTACATGAGCTTTTGTTGTTGTTCATTCCATAGTAAAAATGTATTTTATTTTATTCTTATTGGAAAGTCACACATAGAGAGGAGGAGAGACAGAGAGGAAGATCTTCCGGCTATTGATTCTCTCCACAAGCAGCCACAACGGCCAGAGCTGAGCCGATTTGAAGCCAGGAGTCAGGAGCTTCTTATGGGTCTCCCACGCGGGTGCAGGGTCCCAAAGCTTTGGGCCATCCTTGACTGCTTTCCCAGGCCACAAGCAGGGAGCTGGATGGGAAGCGGGGCTGATGGGGGTTAGAACCAGTGCCCATTTGGGATCCTGGTGCGTTCAAGGCGAGGACTTTAGCCACTAGGCCACGGCGCCGGACCCTTTTCCATAGTAAAATTTAACTGTAGATTTGAACTGACATTACATATTAGATGATAAAAAGCTTGAAAAGATTTTTAAGTACTTGCCTTTTACCATTTTACTCCTGGATAGAGGCAGATGCCAGTTTTTTGTTTTGTTTTGTTTTTCACTGTAATTTTAAAGGTTATAATTAGAAAAATTTTGAATGCAGCAGCAGATATACTTTTAAATTTTTCAACAATTTTGCTATAATGTGTCTGATTGTGGATTTGTTTTTTATGCTCTCTGAAGATCATTGACTCCTCAGATTTGTATCCTGGCCTGCAAAATTCATTCTTTCTGCCTTCATAGCCTCCAAAGCTTTGCCTCATCCCCTGCATCAACTTGAAAGTCTGCAGTTCACAATTTCGTTTAAGAACGCCCTGAATCAGACATGAATATGGTTCATCCTGAAGCCAGATCCTCTCCAATAAACTTGAAAGCAAACAGATTATTTGCTTGCAAAATACAGTTACAACCCAGGCACAGGGTAACGAGGCCTAGGAAGAAATAGGCAAAAGAGAAAAGTGAGGGCTGCCAAGGGAGGCCCAGATCTAGCAAGGCAGATTCCAGGAGCTGGGAAGACTTAGAAACACTTCTCTTTGATCTGATGCTCTGGCTTCTGGACCCACGGGGCCGCATTCCTGCCCCTGTGGCCCTGCCGGGTGGCCCCATGCTCAAGACTTGGAAGGGCAGTCATACTGCTCAGGCTGAGCGGTCACCATCTGAGGTTTGTCTTGAGGGCCATTCTTGGGTATTCTTGAAGATCTGGACCCACAGCCACATGCTCTATTGCCTGGCCATGTAGGAGCTAGAACGTATGGTATCCCTTTTTCATTTCACCTCTTCTTTCCAGTCACCTGGAGTCGTACGTGGCAATGCTGCTGGCGTCATCCCGTTTCTACCCCTGGCTCCTGTTGAGGTGGTTGGTTAAGACCATGAGTCCCATCTGTTCTCAGTGCAATGGTTGTTCAGCCGCATGCTTAGCACTTTCAGAACGGACTCTTGTCATATGGAGAGACAGAATTTTCCAGAGCTCTAAGTTCTAGATTCATTTCTGCATTACCTCATTCTTTAGTTCATCTCCAGCCTCCTAGGTTTAACACTAAGCAGTCAGCAAGTCTCAGCCACACCTCCAGTGCTTTACTTGGCAGATATCCTCTGCCAGGTAATGTGTCACTCCCTACTGCCGCTTGTCACAAAACACTACAGTTAAGACAACTTCTATGCTACTTTATAGCAAAGATCTTTCCTCTAGTTTCTTTTTTTCCCCTATAGTTTCAATAACATATTTGCAATAGCCATCTGAGACCAGAATGGCCTATAACATCCGTATTTCTAGCATAGCATGCACCTCAAAACTTTTTTAGCCTATACCCATTATTCAATTCCAAAGCGACTTCCACAGCTAAGGTTATTCACTACAGCAGCACAACGCAGGCCCAGAACAGTGCCGTCACGTCTGCACGCCCCTTAGGCTGCCCCATTTTATAGGAGCGTTTTCTTCCACTGAATACAAGGGTGCTGTTCCATACCCTCTGAAAGGGGGCTTAAAAGACAAATTTTTATTATTATTCATATTTCCATATTTTATTGAAAATAAATACTTTCCATGAGCTTTTTGAAGTGTTGTCAACTAATAGCTCTGAGATCCATCCATATTGTATGCGTGTCACATGTTCCTCTGTCATTATGAATGGTTTTCAATGTTAAATATCGCAATGTTTTTATCCATTGACCCACTAAAAAATGTTTGACTTATTTCTAGATTTTGGTTTTTATGAATAAACATTTGTATATAGAGTTTTACATCAATGTTTCCCTTTGTAAAACAGCCACACTAGGCCTGGCACAGTAGCCTTGCAGCTAAAGTCCTCGCTTTGCATGTGCTGGGATACCATATGGGCACTGGTTCTAATCCCAGCATCCCTGCTTGCCATCCAGCTCCCTGCTTGTGACCTGGGAAGGCAGCAGAGGACGGCCCAGCACCTTGAGACCCTGCACCTTCATGGAAGACCCGGAAGAAGCTCCTGGCTCCTGTCTTAGGATCGGCTCAGCACTGGCCATTGCAGTCACTTGGGGAGTGAATCATCAGATGGAAGATCTTCCTCTCTGTCTCTGCTCCTCTCTGGATATCTAATTCTCCAATAAAAATAAAATAAATAAATATTAAAAAAATTTTTTTTAAAAAGTTCATCTATAGGGCTGGTTAGGTAGTATAGTAGGTTAATCCTCTGTCTTCAATGCCAGCACCCCTTATGGGAGCTGGTTCTAGTCCCAGCTGCTCTACTACCAATGCAGCTCCCTGCTAATGCACCTGGAAAAGCAGCGGAGGATGGCCCAAGAGCCTGGGCCCCTGCAGACGCATGGGGAATCTGAAACAAGCTCCTGGCTCCTGGCCCCGACTGGCCCAGCTCTGGCTGTTGTAGGCCTTTGGGGAGTGAACCAGCGGTTGGAAGATCTTTCACTCTGTGTGTCTCCTTCTCTCTATATAAATCTACCTTTGAAATAAAAATGTTGAAAAAAAAACTTGCAAAAAAGTTCGTCCGTATTGTGAAATATGTCATTATTTAATTTCTTTTAAAAAAATCTTTCATTTTTTTTGTGGTAAAAATTAAATTGACCTTCTGAACCCTTTTAGCATGTATAGTCCAGGAGTGTGGGATCGCTGTGTGGTGGGTCTGCCCATCTGAAGGGTGACATCCGTTGAGCATCGACACCCCCAGCCCGCCCCTCTTCTGCCTGCTCCCACGAGTGTGGCTGCTTTTTTTTTTTTTTTAGATTTATTTTTATTGGAAAGTCAGATATACAGCGAGGAGGAGAGGCAGAGAGGAAGATCTTCCATCTGCTGACTCACTCCCCGGAGCTATGCCAATCTGAAGCCAGGAGCCTATAGTCTCCTCCGGGTCTCCCACACGGGTGCAGGTTCCAAGGCTTTGGGCTGTCCTCGACTGCTTTCCCAGGCCACAAGCAGGGAGCTGGATGGGAAGCGGGACCACTGGGATTAGAGCCGGCACCCATATGGGATCCCAGTGCACTCAAGGCAAGGAACTTAGCTGCTAGGCTACGGCACAGGCCCCCTACTTCTTTGCTAAATTTTAAATAAGGTTGTTTGTGTTTTCATTGTTGATAGTACTAAGTTGTAGTGTTTGTATGTTTTTGAGATTAACCTCTTGCAGGATAAATAATTTTAAAACATTTTTCATTCCTAGGCTGACTTCAGTAAAGTCCCACTGGTCTCTGCCTTCCTTTGGCCCTGTGTTTCTGTATCATGTCCATGAAATTCTTGCCACGTCCAAGGTCAAGGCTTCCCCCTGTATTTTCTTCTTTTTTTTTTTTTGTAAAGATTTTATTTTTATTATTTTTTCATTGGAAAGGCAGATATACAGAGAGGAGAGACAGAGAGGAAGGTCTTCCGTCCGATGACCCACTCCCCAAGTGAGCGCAACGGGCCGATACTATGCCGAGCCGAAGCCAGGAGCCTCTTCCAGGTCTCCCACGCGGGTGCAGGTTCCCAAAGCTTTGGGCCGTCCTCGACTGCTTTCCCAGGCCACAGGCAGGGAGCTGGAAGGGAAGCGGGGCTGCCGGGATTAGAACCGGCGCCCATATGGGATCCCGGGCGTGCAAGGCGAGGACCTTTAACCACTTGCGCCACCGCGCCGGGCCCTGTATTTTCTTCTAATTTCAATTTTTGTATTTTGTTCTCGGATCCATTTTGAGTGAAGTTTTTGTGTGTTATAAGGAAGGATCCGACTTTATCCCTTAGCACGTGGGT